GGCTTACAGCCATTCGTTTAGCGACCATTCAGAGTTACAGTGACACTGGAAAAAGTGACTTGTGGCTATGTGAAGAGCAGTCCTAAGTGCTATGCTTCACTGGGGAATTCTGGGAGTTGAAGTCCACACGTATTTAAAGTTGCCAAGGTTGAAAAACACTGGATTAGATTCCGCCCAAAGTGCTTTCAGCGCTAGTTTCTCTAAGTTACCAAGCATATTGCCTCATTTTGAGGAATAAAGAGTACTTCAGCTGGATGTTGATAAATCGCAGGTGGACCAAACATCTAAGAACCCGTTCCTCTCATGTTCTCAATTATGTGATCAAAAGGAAAACATCATGTACCGTCCGTGCGAGTGTAATTAATATACACACAGTCAAAAAAGAAAGCTGATGCATTAAAGAAAACTGTATGAAGAAAAAAGTAAAATACAAAGTCCTCAGAGAACAAAACAAAAATATTTTAAAAAGATTTTAAAGAAAACAACAAACTAAACAAAAGGGAAATTAATTATAAATGTTAAGTAGGGGAAAAAACTGTTTACAAATCAATTTAATCGTTGTTAAAAGGAAGTACTGTATCTTCAATTTTCAACGTAATTTAGCTTTAATTTAGACCATGCGTTGAGCCCAGAGCCGAGGTAGGCCACCTTGGCTCTTTTATGATTCATGGACTTCAACTCCCAGAATTCCTGAGCCAGCCATGCTGAGGGGAAAGGGAGACGTCTCCAAGCTGAGCCATGCTGGCTCAGGGATTCTGGGAGTTGAAGTCCCCAAGTCATGAGGGGGCCATAGTTCCCTCATGCTGGCTCAGGAATTCTGGGAATTGAAGTCCACGAGTCATAAAAGAGCCAAGGTTGCCTACCCCTGGCCCAGACCAAATGGAATCAGATTGTCCAGTTTTGTATCACATTTAGCACAAAAACCTATCTGAAGCCTCTTGAGAGCTGACAAATTTGGCGAAGCCAACTTTTCAAATATGGAACACCTGCATTCTGCCAGGAGACCATAAGTCCCCCTTTTCATGACACTTCAGTCTTGATATGACTAAAGTTTTTCATAGCCTTAAGGACTTTAAAGCGTCTCTGGAACAGTGTTATTTTTAATTAACTTCTTTTAATCCTTGACCAAAGGGTTAAAAGTTGAACAAGGGTGTTAAGAGCTGCTATCTTCCTTGAAGTTCTCCTACAGGCACTGAACATATTCATGGACAACTTTGCTTCTGTGTCTGTTTCTAAAGCCTGTCTAGCACTGATGAGATTACCTAGCTGGGTAATGAAATGTCTGCAAGAAAACAGACAATCTCAAAGCGCACCAAGGACCACTACAACATGTCTATTACTTTTATAAACTCAACTCGTCTATCATTCCAGCAAAGACAGCCTTCTTTGGGTGATGCCCTAACATCTGTCTTAAAATCTGACTTAATATTAGGATATACAGCATTGCTGAATTATTTATTTAATAGCCACCCATGGTAATTCTGGGCAGCATGCAACATTACAAAGAAACAATATAAAGACCTCAAAAAAACCCCACCCACCTCCCTCCATGGCAGCCACAAACACAATCACACAAGCCACTTGATCTGCTCTAAGGCCCACTGAGAAAACAATGCTTTGAGGGTCCATTATTGTTCTATTTAATTATATTGCTATTATGTACTCAGGTGTTGTGTATAAACTACCACAGCATCCTTTCAGAGGTGTAAGAATGGTCTAGGCACGCATGCACACCTGCCTTCATGTGTGTCTACATGAAACATATGTGCACATCCCTTTTTTTTTAAAAAAAAAAAAGCTTCTACATATTGGAGAGTATAGTCGTTCTTTCCAAGCTCAGTAACATCTGCTCCAAGGCATTCTTTCAAAAAACGTTAACGTGTTCCACTGAACTGGAAGATACACGGACAAGTGGAAATGTATAGAAGCATAAGCTTAGGGAGCAAACAGCAGGAATGAGAAAAACTACCAGAACAGAATCCTTCCAGGGGCTGTGACAAAATCAAAAGTATATCATCTCACACACACACACACACACACACACACACACACACACGAGCAATTGCTCTGCCACCCTGGGAGAACGGACTACTTGTTATATGCGAATCCAAAGGCAAATGTTATTTGATCCGATCCATATTGACCAGACTGCGCCTGTCTGGTGCCCTCAGCACCATGGCCAGCTCCTTAGCTGGCCAAGCTGAAGAGGAACTGGTTAAGACAGCGATGGCGAACCTTTTAGAGACCGAGTGCCCAAACTGCAACCCAAAACCCACTTATGCATCGTTGGGTGCCGGGTGAGTATGGCCCATTGGATGGGTGTGGCCCACTGAGTGGGCGTGGCTGCGGTGGTAACGGCAGACTGGGTGGGACTAAAAAGTTCAATCAATCAATTCCATTTTTTTTTCCGCAAGAAGTTGAAATTGACTGATTGATTGAACGGCAGCGGAGGACTAAAGCAAAAAGGTTTTATAAAACCCAGCTGAAGGCCTAGGACTGGGGCGACGGCACGTGTGGCCGCAGAGAGGGCTCTGAGTGCCACCTCTGGCACCCGTGCCATAGGTTCACCACCACTGGGTTAAGACCTCCTCCACCTTAGGGCATCCCATGACAAGCAGCTCTCTCTACTATTCTTGATCATGCAAGATTCAACGGTCCTTCTCCTCCCACCTACGTTCACCCCTCTTGTGTGTGTGGAAACAGATAAGAAGGGGCAAAAAAAAAAGGAAAAACAACCTGCTCCAAAAGCCAAATGTTCCAATATCTCAGGGGTTGCCACCAAGAAGGGGGGCTGAAGGCAGGACAAGAAGCAATGGATGGAAACTAATAAAAGGGAGAAGCAACCTGGAACTAAGGAGAAATGTCCTGACAGAAGAATTAGACTCAATGGAAGGACTTTCCTCCAAGAGTTTTGAATGCTCCAACACTGGACATTTCAAAGAAGAGATTGGACAACCATTTGTCTTGAACGTTAGGGTTAGGGTTGGACTGGAAGGCTAGATTAGAAAAGGGAAAATTTGAGAAGGGGAGAAACAACTCAAAGCCAGGGTTTAATTGACAGAAACCCCAACTGCTTTGCCATCTAGAACAATTCTCCTGAAAATATTGGGTTGTAAAGGAAACGGTTTCTAGCTGTATTGCCATTTCAGACTTTTACTTAGGCCTCTCAGGATCCATTTCACTGGCTCATCTTAAGGCAGGGCTGGGCAATTTTAATTTAAACTTTGTCTCTGTAACCCATTTCAATCAGCCCCCCCCCCCCGTCTTAAACCCCTTTTTTTAGGAATGGCCATGGCGTTAAAATTTCCAGTGGGACAAAAAGCACGGAGCGGTAATTATAGTTAAAATGAAGTGCACATATTCAAAGCTTCTGCCATTGGGAGAAGACACCTGCTTTTAATCTCCCCTGGGGTACTCGACTGACTAATATTGGAAGCAAGCTTGCTGGGCTAAATCATTTAATAAAAAAATTCAACCAGAGAATGATGGTCTACAGCCCCACCTAGTGGACGTTATGGCAAACTGCCCTCCTCCCCAAATGAATAAGGCAAGAAGGCCCTGCATTCACAACAGCAAAACTTTTCCCAGTCTTAAAAACAAAACAAAAAAAAACTTTCACAATAACTAGACATACCCTTTACACTTGCCACATCTCTTTACTTTCTGTCAAAGTCAAGACTTTCTGTTGAACAAATTAACACTTGAGATGATTCTACCAGGAAGATTGGTTCATTCAAAATTTTGTTGACATATGTTAGCGTTATCTTGAACTCTAAAAAGGTAACATTGAATCTATTATTTCCTTCCCAAAATTAATGACAGTGTTTGTTTGTTAACTCTCAAAAAGAAACATATTTAAGGCTTGAATGAGATCCCTGCAGCGGGAAATTGTTCATTTGATTCATCTCAACCTCCTGTTTCAATAAATGTTATAACAGGGACTATCTTTCGAGAGAAATTAAAAGACGCTTGCTCCTGGGGAGGAAAGCTATGGCAAATCTAGACAGCATACTAAAAAGCAGAGACATCACCCTTCCAACAAAAGTGCGTATAGTCCAGGCCATGGTTTTCCCAGTTGCAATGTATGGCTGTGAAAGTTGGACCATAAGAAAGGCTGAGCGTCAAAGAATTGAGGCCTTTGAACTATGGTGCTGGAGAAGACTCCTGCGAGTCCCTTGGACTGCAATGCGTTCAAACCGGTCAGTCCTAGAAGAGATCAACCCCGACTGCTCTTTAGAAGGCCAGATCCTGAAGTTGAAACTCAAATACTTTGGCCACCTAATGAGAAGGAAGGGCTCACTGGAGAAGGGCCTAATGCTGGGAAAGATTGAGGGCAATAGAAGAAGGGGACGACAGAGAATGAGATGGCTGGATGGAGTCACTGAAGCAGTAGGTGTGAACTTAAATGGACTCCAGAAGATGGTAGAGGACAGGAAGACCTGGAGGAACATTGTCCATGGGGTCGCGATGGGTCAGACACGACTTCGCAATTAACAACATCTTTCGAGAGTAAGATGGAGGAATAGGCTTTTTAAAATGCTATGTATTTAAAATAATGAACTACTTTCCAGTTAATCAGGCACACTTTCCTATTTAATGAAGCATTTCTCATCAAATCAGAGAAACGTATTGATCTGAGAAAATTTTGGCGATCCGTTAAGGCAGATGATTACCAAATTAACTCATAGGTTGGTGGTTCCTTTTTATATTCAACCTTATTTGTTCTTCATTACGACGTTTCACTCATGCTAGTTACAGGGGTAGGCAACCTCGGCTCTTTTATGACTCATGGACTTCAACTCCCAGAATTCCTGAGTCAGCATAGCTCAGCTTGGAAGCATCTCCCTTTCACCTCAGCATAACTGATTCAGGAATTCTGGGAGTTGAAGTCCATGAGTCATAAAAGAGCCGAGGTTGCCTACCCCTGCGCTAGTATCTTCTCAATCCCGAACGAGAAAAAAAAGTTATACAGCGCTCCGCTGAAAAAAAGAAACCACAACAACTTTAATTTCTATTTTATTTTAATATGAAATAACAAAATGCTCCCCCAGCTATGGGAACGAGCCCAGTTAGCAAGAAACAAAATAATTATAATAATCATTCGTATCATGGATCATGAAAGATATCTGAGAGAAGGAAGGGAACCAACAGCAAACGGGGAGAGAATCCAATAATGAACAGAGCAGACTTGGTCAAGAGGGGATTTACAATCCAGCTCAATCCCAAGCAGGAAGGGGATCAACAACAACAATACCCCCCCCCCAACACACAAAAAAATTAGCCTTAGAGGGATTCAACTGTGGAGAAGATTGCCGTGAGCATTGCTAGAGCCAAGGGTTGCCCAAATCGGAAGAGAAATTGTTCCATTCTGCTGGGGGGGGGGGGAAATGGCCCAATACCAATCAGGAGGGATGGGAAGCATCAGACCACAGGATGGCATGGAGTGCCCGGCCAACAGCACGGCTATCGGAGTGGGAAGTGAGTGGGACAAAGTGACACCCAGCTCATTTACAGAACGGGTGGAAAAATAAAGGATGCAATCACACTCCAGGAACGCAGAGAGCAGCAGAAGTACGGAGGAAAGGCGGAGGAGTCCTTTCGGCAAACACCAGAAGGGGGAGCCAAAGAGCAGCAGCTCAGGAGACCAGCTGCCCCTCCTCACCTCCCCCCCCAGCCCGACTCAAACACCCCCAATCTGGACGTTTTCCATCTGGATGTTCTCAAAGTGGACGCCTCCATCCGTTGGGTAGATCTCAATGGTCTCCACCACCGGGATGGTTTCCATAATGGTCACCGTGTTGCCGTAGACGGGCTCGCTCGAGACCACCGAGGCGGAGGGTGTTGCCGTCGCAGCCGCGGCGGCGGCAGCCGCGGCGGCAGCAACGGCCTCGGCCATGACTTCCTGCTCGTGCTGCAGGCGCTGCTGCTGATGCATTTTACGATGCTTCCAGAGGTTGGAGAAGGAGCGGTAGGCCTTTCCGCAGGCATCGCAGTGGTAGGGGCGCTCTCCCGTGTGGATGCGCTTGTGTTCGGCCAACCGCACCGCAATCGTAAAGGCCTTCCCGCACTCCTCACACTTGAAGGGCTTCTCCCCAGTGTGCAAGCGCCGATGATCCTTGAGGTGAGTGGACTGCCGGAAGGCCTTCCCGCAATCCGGGCAAGGGTAGGGACGCTCGCCGGTATGGATGCGGCGGTGGACCTGCAGGGACGTCTCCGTGCTGAACAATTTCTTGCAGTCGCTACATTCAAAGGCCTTCGGGCAGGCCGGGCGGCGGGGACGGGGCGGGGGCGGCTCCAGCACCGGCGGCTCCTCCTCCACCCCTTCAGGGATCTGGATGTCCCCGTGCAGCCGTTCGTGGGCTCTCAGTTGCACCGTGGAGCCCACCTTCTTGCCGCACACGGAGCACTCAAAGTGACGGCTCATCTTGCCACACTTGTGTTCCTTCAGCTGCTCGGCAGTGACAAAGGCAGCCCCGCAGCCCGAGGTGCAGCGATGCGGCTGCTGGCCCGTGTGACTCAGCTGGTGAACCTCCAGCAAGCGGCGAAGCAAGAAAGAGCGCCCACAGGTCTGGCACTTGTAGGGATACTCCCCGGTATGGTGATAGCGGTGCATGAGCAGGCGGTAAGGCCGGTGGAAGACGCTGCCGCATTCCTGGCATTTGTAAGGATAGTGGCGACTGTGGACCAAGAGGTGCTGCTGCAGGGTGGAGGATTGTGTGAAGCACTTTTGGCAGATGTCACAGCGGTAGGGACGCTCGCCCGTGTGTGTCAAACGGTGGCGCTGCAGATTGGCCGGGGAATTGAAGCTCTTGCCACACTCCTTGCAGTGGTACGGCCTCTCCCCAGTGTGCGTCAGGAGGTGGTTGCGCATGTGGGACTTCTTCTTGAACATCTTGCCGCACGTCAAGCATTTGTGGCGGCGCTCCATCTTGTGGGCAAAGCGCTGATGGCGCGACAGCTGGGTCTGCTTGGGAAAGGCCTTGCTACACATCTGACACTGAAACTCGTCAGACTTTTTCTCCTGGGCGCCGCTGCCCTCCATGGAGGCGCCGCTGCTGCCCACAGAACAAATGAGGGCCAGAGGGATAATTTCCTGCTTTTCTTCGGGTTGCTCTGGGGCTTCCGGAGGCTCTTCCTCCATGGGCTGATCGTCGGGAGGAGAGGAAGGCAATTCGTAGATCTGGGCCGAATTGGCACTGTGGGAGCGCCGATGATAGAGAAACTTGGTCATGTTGATGAAACTCTTGCCACAGGTGCAGCGGTACATGGGGTTTGGCGAATGGGTGCGCCGGTGGGACAGCAGCACCGCCTCGGTGCCGAAGCCCAAGCCACATTCCACGCAGAGGAAGCGCGACTCGCCACTGTGCTCCTCCCGATGTTTCTCGAGAGCAGCTGGAGACGGCAGCACCTTGCTACACAGTGGGCATTTGAAGGCACCCTGCCGGTGGCTCCTCATGTGCATCTGCAGCTTATGGGCTGAGGGAAGCAGCTGGTCACACTCAGTGCACAAATACTCCTTGACGGCCTGCTTCACTTTACGGGGCGGCTGCTCTCCAGGGTTGTTTTTAAGTTCGTAACTGTGATCCGTGGCTGTGACGCTAGTCTGGATTTGTGCCGGCACAGCACCGTTTTGTACGGCCATTAAACTTGGCGGCAACAACTCCTTTGGCTCCGCTCTAGCAGGCACCTCCCTAATTTGTGTCCCTGGGGTTGGCTGTATCTCTTGATGCGAGGCCTGGTGCTCAAGGAAGTCTGTGGTGGACTGGAACAGCTGCAAACACTCGCCACACTCGTAGAGCAATAACTGCACAGTTCCACAGGAATCTCCCCCTTCCTCTGGCTTACGGTAGGAATGCTCCAGATTTACAAGGGCCTGACTCTGAGGAGGAGGTGGTGGTGGTGGTTGAGGAGGAGGAGGGGGAGGAGGAGCAGCTACTGCAGGTTCTGGTGCCTTGCGGTGGCTCTGACGGTGGGCAAGCCACACATCCTGACTGGTAAACAGGGCTTTGCATTCTATGCATTCATAGTGGATCTGACTGGAGCTCAGAGGTTTGACCAAAGGTTCAGGTTCGTGAGTAACCATCTTCAAGTGCATCTCCTGATGTTCAAGCAACTGACTTGGAGACATGAGAATCTGTCCACACTCCAAACATTGGTACTGGCTTTCCTGCACAGTCACTGTTTGATAGAGACCAGCCTCGCCACTTGTCATCAAGCCAGCTTCTGCCAACCCAACTACTTCATACTGCTGCTCCTGGGAGCACATGTGATTCTGCTGATGCACCAAAGCATCCTCTAAGGAGCTAAACTGCTGGTTGCACTCCGAGCAGACATAGCGATGCTCTACATACAACAGAGCTTCTTCCGCTGATTCAGCCATCACGAAAGATGGCTCCCAATGTACTGGGAAGAGAGAAAGAGAGGGAAAAAAAAATTAGGGAGCTGATTGGTTGATTGGAACATCTGGTTGATTGATGAGAACAAACACTGAAGTTATTTTAAAAAAGAACCATTTTGTAATGCAAGTACTTTCAAATCCATGGGTGGCAGAAAACTACGCAGAAGCATTCTTTTCAGACAGAATTGCAAACTGCTGTGATATGTGAATTTATCCTTTTTAAACAAGAAATAAACCTTTCTCGTTCAATTAAAAACCAAGATTTTTTGAACTAGCAACATCTGTCTCCTATATTAGAAGTCTTACTTCTATTCATTATTGCTTCAGGATATGAAAAATTAAATATTGAAGATGTCACTTTCTTGTAACACTTTCTTGTTACATTATAGAAAATGTAACAATGCAATTAAGAAAAAAGAACATTATTTGATTCCTGTTCAGGTTGAGTTCTCCAATATTATCTACTGAGACTGACACACACATTCTCTCTCTCATTAAACATATTATTGTTCCTTAGTTTGGGGTTCTCCCACAATATTTATTTGACTCCTACAGCTGCCCATCTCAATAAGTAACTCTGGGTAATGTACATCATGAAGCATAAAGCAAGCAAAACAGTACAAAGTAAATATTTATGGCACTAAGTAAAAATCAATCTGCATGCCAATCCGATTTCAGGATTACACTAAATTATTCAGGATGATAAAACTCACGGAGGGATTGCAAAAAGGTCCAAGAGAATATGTCTAAATTGGCAAATGAATTGAAATAAGCTCCATTTAAATCAAGGATCTTCAAACGTGGCCTTTTTATGACTTGTGGACTTCAACTCCCAGAATTCCTCAGCCAGGCACGCTGTCTGAGGAATTCTGGGAGTTGAAGTCCACAAGTCATAAAAGGGCCACGTTTGAAGACCCCTGATTTAAATGGACCACAAAGTTCTTGTCTCCCCTCTTTTGCCTGAAGACACAAAGTTTTCACCAGCTTCAGAAAATCATAATTTCATACACTAAAGAGACCTTTTAAATTATCTAGCCCAGGGGTAGGCCACTTTGGCTCTTTTATGACTCGTGGACTTCAACTCCCAGAATTCCTCAGCCAGCCATGCTGAGGGGAAAGGGAGAGGTTTCAATGCTGAGCCATGTTGGCTCAGGAATTCTGGGAGTTGAAGTCCACGAGTCATGAGGGGGCCATAGTTCCCCCATGCTGGCTCAGGAATTCTGGGAGTTGAAGTCCACGAGTCATAAAAGAGCCAAGGTTGCCTACCCCTGGTCTAGTGGTTAAGGAACCAGGCTAGAAGGTGAGAGATTGTGAGTTCTACCCTTGATCTAGCCCAGTGGTTCTCAACCTTTTTAATGCCGCGACCCCCAACCGGTCATAAGTCGAGGACTACTCAACTGGTCATAAGTCGAGGACTACTCAACTGGTGCAGCACCGTTTGCAGACTGGGACTTTTGGCGGGCTCGGCAGGGCAGAGACAGCCTGGACAATCCCTATTGGCTTTTGAAAGCCAATAGAATTAGACTCTATTCAAGAAAGTCTATTCTATTGACTTTCAAAAGCCAATAGAATAAAAGGGAGTAGCACAGCTAAGGAAAAGGGGGGGGGGGGAAATGGCGGACTGCGTTGTTTGGCGACCCCTGTGAAATGGTCGTTCGACCCCAAATGGGGTCCCGACCCACAGGTTGAGAACCACTGATCTAGCCCAATCTCCTGATCCATGCAGGAAGTTATTAAATCAGTCCCCATTTGACAGCTGCTAACCAGGAGGTTCCTAGAACTGCTCTAGATTAACTTTCCTACTTCTTAACACTTCTTACAACACAGAAATGATCTCTAATACTCAGCCAGAATCTAATTTCAACCCCTTGGTCTTTCTCCTATTCTTATTTTCTTGGACATGGCATCCTTTACAAATATTTGTTCACGACTATCTCATCTCCCCTTACTGTAGTAGTTTCTTCCCACTAAACTAATCCAATTCTTTTTAATGTCGGCTTCCAAATCCTTATCGACTTAAGAGCAATTATCTGCCACACACACACACACACACACACACACACACTCCTTCAACCTCTCTCTGTCCTTTCAAAGAACAAGGCCCAGGCTGCTTGCACAATGCTCCAATGTGGTCTAAGCAATATCGTTTTATCTAGTTTCTCTCACATTACCTTCCAGGCCTCAGTTCAAGGCCCTTCTTAAGACCCTAAGAAACTCATCCAGTCTGGCCTCTGTCAGGAGCAACATGCGGCAAGTTTTCGGAGCAGGAGGTCTTTTTCTGAAAGCTTGAGTTTAAAAGACTACAAAGAAGATAGCAGAGAAGGTTGCAGATCAATTTCATCCACCCTTCTGACCCTGCAGATCAATTTCACCCACCCTTCTGACCCACCCTTCAGAGTCAAGGAGTCCCACTCCTCCTTCAAGCCCTCCATTGTTAAGCTACAGGAGGAAGCAGAAGTCCTAGCTCAGGCGTCCCCTTCACCCCCACTGTTCCATCTCACTTTGTCAGACAGACAGACAGACACACACACACCAGATCCTATACACTGGGGGTTCACTCATTTCTGGCAGGGCAATTCCAGGGATCGGAAGCCACATGCTCAGATGCAACCCACCCCCCACCCCCACCCCGCCCCCCTGCCCTGGGGCCTGTCGCCCCCCCTCCCCAATACACAGCCTTTTGCCTACTAGGGGCACGTGCCCTTTTCCCTCTGCCCACTTTCACCGCCCCCCCCCAACGAAGGTCTGCCCCTCCCATGCGCCAGGAGGGCCCCCCCCCTCCCACAGCCTTGCAAGTTGGGAGGGGGGGGAAGAACATCTACCCTCCCCCCATTATCTCTCATATCCTCTCACGTTGTGCGCTCCGAGCTCCCCTCCCCCACCCCGGCGGGGGAGGGGGGGTGGCGGCCCGTCTGTTCCGCCGCTCTCCCCCCCCCCAGGGTGGGGAGGGCTCCCGCCGCCCTCTTGTCTCCCTCCCCCTTAGCTCCCCCCTGCACTAGGGGCGCTCTCCCCCGGTCCTCCTCCCCTCACCTTTTTTTCCTCCCTTCTGTCCCCCACAGCCCAACCTTCTCTCTCACCCTCCTGGTCGAGCAAACCGTCTCTCTATTGGATGACAGGGCGCAGCGAATCGGGAGGCGGCTTATTCCACCGCCATCCAATCGGCGGCCCCCTTGGAGCGCGGCGCGCGAGCCCTTGCCCGAAGCCGTCGGGATTCGCATAGGGCAACGTCATAATGACGTCGCGCCGCGGCTCGAGCCAGGCGGCTCCCTTCCCCTTGAGAAGGGGGGCGGGGCGAAAAGGAAAAGCGAGGGAAGAACCGGTCGGCTGGACTGTACCAATAGTGAACAGACGGGGAGGGGCGTAAAAAGGGGGGGAAAGAGAGTGGCAGTTGGACGGAACCAAAGTGCTGGGCGGGCGTGAAGGCTCTCCTCAGACCTCCTCATGCGTCAAATAATAATGTTTTATTATTAATGATGAACTTTTTTTTTACCCGTGTCAGAAGCATCACAATTTAAATAAGGCATACTATGTGACATAAAACTTAAAATGTAAAATATAAGATCGAAATATATAGAAGTTAAAACAGATTTTGAATTTTGAACTAATGAACAGCTCCATCTGCCTGGGGAATTCTGGGAGTTGAAGTCCACAAGTTGCCCAGCTTGGAGGAAAAGAAGAAAAATCCCATAAAGACGACCTCTGGGCAGATGTTGTCCCCTTAGGTTCACCAGCTGCAGATCTGAACTTGGAGAAAAAGGAAGGGAGATCAATTTCTGTTAAGAGGATCTTTGGAAAGAGGATCTCCCTTTCTGTTAGGCAATCTCTGAATTTAGACAAAGGGGAGAAGGAAAGGAAAAAACATTCCTCTGCAATATTTTTGTTTCCCAGGCTGGTTACTCAATCACCCAAGTGAGATCTTGATAGGCTTCATGAGAGAGATGTTGAAGCAACCCAAAGAGGAAAGAAAAATGAAATGAAAAAAGAAGATGAAGGGAGAAAGAAAGCTCTGAAAAAAATAAAAGAGGAAGATGGAGGGAAAGTGAGCAAAAGGACTGCTTAGAGACGGAAAAATTGGAAAGGCAGATCCGAAGATCTGACCTGGTGGAAAAACACCATGAGGTTGTCCTGCTAATTGCAGGTTCAGGTCTTCTAAGCCAGTGTTTCTCAACCTTGACAATTTTAAGGCATGTGGACTTCAACTCCCAGAATTCCACAGCCAGCATTGCTGGCTGTGGAATTCTGGGAGTTGAAGTCCACATGCCTTAAAATTGTCAAGGTTGAGAAACACTGTGACCTAAGCTAAGGCAGAGAAAGAGATACTTAACAGTTGTTTCTTGCCATTCAACTAGGATGTATTGATATATATCTTAACTTTATTTGCCATCCGTCTTGTTTCAAAGCGACTCTGGGCAATCAGATACTAGATTCATTCCCCTACCTCTCAATAGTCTTGGGATTTGGGTGCACTGTCGTGGCCACCAGCCTTTTTTAACCCCAATCTTGTGGCTACCTCTAGCTGAGTCAGCGAGAAAACAAGTTTCTTCCATTTTCAAACTTATGGAAAGTTTGCAGCTTAGCTATTAAAATCTTCTTTCTTTTGATCCAATCTATTCATCTACATTTTTGTTCTTTTTTCCAGAGTAGGAATAGTCAATCCTTTGTTGTTGATATTTTTAAAAAAATATTCTCACTTCTGTATAAATATTAAAGACACAAGTATTTTGTGATTTTGGATCAGGTGACTCTAATTAGGAGACTGACATTTGTCATTACAAATATTACGTAGTATTAAAATAGTAATGTGGAACAGAAGTTGGATTTATAAACGCACTTTCTTATCAGTTTGTTAACTGTCTTACTCCTGGTATGCATGCTCCAACTTGTCCTCCTGACGCCGTGGTCTACCACATCATCACATTACTGTGACTCTGCTGCTAAGTACACACATTCCACTTACAAATCTCCATTAGCAAGCCAGCATAGCACTTCAGAAACCATAGGAAACATCCATTTCAGACACAGCAACCTTGTTTCTATGCTCTCATTATATGCTTCATACCACAGCCGGTGCAATGACATTTCCCGTGCATTTCTCCCACGGTGGTGGATTGTTTGACTGGAGAATTTATCTATCACGCACCCTATTTCCCAGCTTATTCCCAGAAAAACAGTAACAGCAAGATATGCTGCTGCGATGTTGCAGCAGGCTGAGAATTTGTTGGCTGAATAGATGATGCTTGTCTACCACGGTCCTCACCAGCTTCTCTAGCGCCTTGGCCTCCTGATACAACCCAATCCTTTAATCCTCTATTGGTGAGAACCGTCTACAAAAAAAGCACATCGAGTGTGGAGGATTTATGAATAACTTGCAAATTACATGTACCGGGGTGTGACGGTGTTGATTCCCTCCAAAATCCATTTTTCTCTTCAAGTGCTTTTATGATGAACTTTGTACTCGATCATCTGTTCCACTTTGCATACCGATCCAAAATGGGTGTCTCCCTGTTCACATCTCAACCAGATCCTAAATGCATCATTCAGGACATACTTGGTGGCAGGGCAGGAGATGAAATAGGGACTGATTGCCTGTACTTAACCAGGAACCGTTTACAATCTTTCTGGTTCTGCAGACCGGTGGTGGCACCATGAGGGGGGAGATGGTTTTGTGCACGTGTGTGCTGCTTGCACAAATGCAGCTTAGTGCACTCACTTTTGCGGCCTGGTTCCCAAGGGGCTGAGACCTGGCATCAGGCTGTGGACCAGGGCTTGGGGACCCCTAGTTTACATCCTGTTTGCCTCCAGGGCACAAGAAGACAAAATAGTAACAGGTTCTCCATATGAGCCTCCAGGAGTGTTTGTTTCAAATTACCCCCCAACCTGACTGCAGCCTCTAAAGCAATGTCACCTGATCACTGTCCATCTGGTAGGGTGCAGGAGTCCTTTTTGATAATTGGAACTTCCAGACACTGCCAAGTATTACTTAACTGAAACTGAAGAAAGTGAATTGGCAGAAATGATAGGAAACTGTGTGTTTGTTAGCAGGCCCTGCTTCTGAAGCAAGGCAGTTGCACACCAAAGGCCTTGTGTGCAGAAACACTTGGGGGAAAATGCAACCGGGTTGCTTTTACACCCAGTTGCAGGTAGAATTAAAAACGACTACGTACAGGATTTAAAGTCGTTATCCTGTTATCTTCTAATGCTGCTCCGCAGAGGGTAGATCCCTTTTTTAATGTTTACTCATCTGCAAGCACAGCTCAGCAAAGGTTCTCTGCAATTAAGTTTCCCCTTGCAGGTTGTTCCTGTTTCATTGCTCTTCTGTTCAGCTTGTTGAGGGATTAGTGGTGATTTGCCACTTAATTACAGGGCTTCTGTTCTCCACAAAGGGGGGAGATGGCAGCTTTAATTACTTGTTTCTTTTATTTTTGTCCTCTTTATTTTATAATGAAAAACTGTCTTTTCACAAAAGAGAGGAGGGAGAATTAAAGGAAGCCAGTTATTAATCCCCAACCCTCAGCAGGAAAGAGAAATTGACTTAATTGATAAACAATGAATCGCTAATGTCTACCTAAGCAATAAAACAAGAAGAAACTTAAAACGAAACACAAACTAATCCCTGGTATGGCTTCAATTCATACTACAAAGGCCGAGGCTGTACTTGGAGTTTTCTGTAAAGATACACATTTAAAAAAAAAATGCAGAAAGCTTCCAAAATACTGCCATATAAAGATTTAGCAAAGTCACTAACTGGGTTTTCCTTTAAAAAGGCAAGTGACCAAAAAGATGGTAGGTCAGGAATAAAGTGTTTTTTATACGAAAGCCTTTGTTATGCCTCAAAGGTCAGGAAACCACTGAATCTGCAGCTAGAGTTAAACATGGGATTGAAAAGATGATTGTTCAGCAGAATTTTTCCTATGAGAGAAAAAATGTCTATACTGTATAAAAATCTCTGCCTTAATTTTGTACGAATCCACTTGTACTCTTGCGTAAGGCACATTTTAAAAAGCTGTTAATAACGGCTGGCGTGCACGTGATTTCACCTCACATATATAATGACTTTGAGTCAACTTTGACTCCTGGCAACTGGTTTTGTTGGCAAGGTTTTTTGGAAATGGTTAGCCATTGCCTCTTTCCTAGGACTCAGAGAGGGCGACTGGCTGAAGGTCACCCAGCTGGTGTTTGCCTAAGACAGGACTAGAACTCAAGAGTCTCCTGATTTCTAGCCGGATCCCTTTAACTCCTACAGCAGTGGTTCTCAACCTTTTTAATGCCACGACCCCCAACCGATTGTAAGTCGAGGACTACTCAACTGGTGCAGCACCGTTTGCAGAATGGGACTTTTGGCGGGCTCAGCAGGGCAGAGACAGCCTGGACAATTCCTATTGGCTTTTGAAAGCCAATAGAAGTAGACTCTATTCAAGAGAGTCTATTCTATTGGCTTGCAAAAGCCAATAGAATAAAAGGGAGTAGCACAGCTAAGGAAAAGGGGGGAAAAAATGGCGGACTGCGTTGTTTGGCGACCCCCGTGAAATGGTCATTCAACCCCAAATGGGGTCCTGACCCACAGGTTGAGAACCACTGTCCTACAGCAAACTGGCTCTTATTTTATACTCCCAGTTCTTTAAACTAATTGTATGGCTAATGGGAACTGTCTACAATATACATATAAAACCCAGCCACCACAATTTGAGTTTCCAGAAACCAGGATATGTAATTTATGAACAATGCTTTAGAACTGGGTAAGCTGGTGAACCACAGAACCTGTTTAGAGAGTCATGCAGAACAGTTAAAATGATACAGTAATCTTTGTATGCTTGTTAACTTTTGAATTTGTCCTACACCGACATGGCATTATATGCCAACTTGGAAACTTGACCTGGGTATAGAATTTGATGGACATTTAGAGAAATAATTAGGCCTGTTTTTACGTGTAAAAGGACACATTTTCAAAGCTTGGTCCCTTCAGATCCAATCTGAAATATCTGGAACAATAATCCCAGAATGCAGACAATAAGTTTATTTCTGTTTTCTTTTGTTGGTAACAGTGATCCTTCTAAAATTTTAAATTCTTTCTGGGCACTTCTACAAAGCCACAGTTGTTATATCCTAAATGCTGTGGGCCCCTCTGCTAAAGTCCACCATCATCTCATTACAGCTGTTGCCAAGAACTCAGAATAGCCCCAAAGCCCAGGTACCCAATAGAGCAGTGGTTCTCAACCTTTTATTTATTTATTTATTTTTAAATTTTATAAACCGCCCCACTCCCGCAGGACTCTGGGCGGCTGACAATAAAAACACCATAAAACATGACAAAACAAACAGTACAATAACAGTCATCCAGGGGTCAGATTTTATAAACTCTTCCTAATGTCGCGACCCTTTAATACAGTGACTCATGTTGTGGTGACCCCCAACCATAAAATTATTTTCGTTGCTACTTCATAACTGTAATTTTGCTACTGTTATGAATCGTAATGTAAATATCTGATCTGCAGGATGTATTTTCATTGTTACAAATTGAACACAATTAAAGCATCATATGTAATTATATATTGTGAAATATTTATTTCTAATTAACAAATAAATGAAATTTTGTCTTGAAGCATGGTGTAGCATGGGCAACAGTCTTAATATAACAACAGTAAACTACATTGCTACATTTTGCGACAGTATGCGTAAAAAACCAACGTCAGTGCGAAGGTTGAGATTGCTTCTTTCTCACCAGATCAGAAATTCTCGGGGCAGTCTTTGCAATACGTGTTTTCCAATGGTCTTAGGCGACCCCTGTGAAAGGGTCGTTCGACCCCCAAAGGGGTCGTGACCCACAGGTTGAGAACCGCTGCAATAGAGGAATGCCTTCCATCCTTCAGTTCTACTTCCTATCCTCCGTTGGTTTGCCAGCAGAAAAGGAAACAAAATTCCCGCAAAGTGTGAGGGGTAAAGCTGGCAAATGGCTTAATGGAGGGATCCCCAACCCCTGTGGACTGGTACCGGGCCGCAGCATGCCAGCAATCGGTCCACACAAACAAGCAAAGCCGTGGGATGCAGGCAGCACACAAAACCACACATCTCCAGTCCATGGAAAAAGCTTTCTCCATGGAACTGGTCCCTGGTGCCCCAAAGGTTGGGGACCTTTGGCTTAATGCAAACATTCAGGTAGAGCAGCATAGGCCCAGAGAATGTCAGAAGTCAACGATGGGAAGATTGGCAGCCTTTCCCTCCCCCCCCCAACTCTTTTGATCTTTTAGAATAGGGATCCAGAAGAGTTTTGGACCAGTGACCACATTTCGAATGTTGAGACATTATAAGCACGATCGTTCTCATAAAAAAGATCTGTCACAGTGGAAGTGGTAAATCACAATATACAGGTAGCCCTCAACTTACAACCATTCATTTAGCAACTAGGACAGCACTGAAGAAGGGAAATACCTAGTCCTCGTATTTGCAACCATTACAGCATCCCTGTAGTCACATGATCAAAATTTGGGCCCTTGGCAACCGGCATGGATTTGCAACAGTTGCAGCATCCAGGGATCATGTGATCAACATTTGTGAACTTCACAGCCCACTTCTGAGAAGCAAAGACAGATTCATTTAATGACTGTGTGCTTTGAGTAATAATGGTTTGCTTAATGACCATAGCAAAAAAGGTCATGAAATCGGGCACAATTTCCTTAACAATCACCTTGCTTAGCAACGGTCTTAACTATGGTTGTAAGTCAAGGACTACCTGTACCCTTATATTAGAAGGCAAATGAAGCAATCAACAGTAGATCACCTTATCTTCCAGTGACATCTTTGGGGCCTAACTGGGTGGTGAAGACTTATCAGCGGGCAGAACAGTGTTTTCAGGTGCCAGGTTGCTGATCCACAATTTTTTTCCTTTCATCCTGTGGTCTGCAGCTCTGTGCCACAAGTGAGTCACCATAACAGATTTTCAACTACATTTCAACTCGTCTTTGGTTGCAAGATTTTTATTTTGTTTTTGTTTTTAATTTTTAAAAAAGACAGGGAAAAAAAAAACACAAAACCACGACAGAACCAAATGAAAGAACAAATTAAAAAAGCACTCAGAATATTTGTTACATTATCATCATCATCATCATCATCATTTTTTTTTCAAGTCACTTCTAAGCCCCACAGTTACAAATAAATTAACAAGACAGGATCAGACCCCGGAAGATTAAAAAATTTAAAAAAGAAAATGAATACTAGGAACTAACTACCTTTGGCAAAGTTATCACACGATTTTCCCACTGCTCCCAGGTCGGCTACAGCCACAGGCCAGTCCTGTTGGGGTGGTGTCGGCAAGAAACTGGGTTCTAGTGCAGCATCCTTCACGCAAAGGCCAGCCCATTTGATCCACTCCTCTAGGGCTATCAAACTGACCGACCCTCCTGGGCGTATAAACGATATTCCCTTTTTTCACATAACCTCAATACCGGTCAGAGTTGATAGAAAGCAACCTGGAGAAGCCAGTTCATGGAAGGCAGAGGACACCCCCCCATTAGACCTGAACCTGGTCACAGTCAAGGTTTCTACAGGAGATTCGTGTCCGACGAGAAATAAAAGCCCAGCTTCAATTTTCTTTGATACAAAAATGCTCTTGCATCACAGCTGAATTCCAGCTATCCTCCAATTTAACCCTGATGTACAAAGTGCCAGTTACATCGGGGGAGCCAGGCCCACGGAGCAATGTCCAGCCCCTAGTGTGTCTTTTTTTTTTCCCCCCACGTCTTTGTGGATGCAGTCTTCAGTCCTTAGCATGGTTCCATCATCCTAACCACGTTGTCCTTTTCCAGGTTGATAGATGAAGCAGAACCCTAGAAGCTCACCTGAATAGATCAGATTTCATTGGACCTGGGCTGTCCTGCCGATTTCCCCCCCCCCCCGATGGGGTGAGGGGATGCTGCGCCTGATCCCCACCGCCCCAAACAGACCTGTACGGCACACACCCTTAATAAAGCTTTTCTATTTGGTTTATCATTAAAGTATATGAGGTATATGGCGGGCTATCTCCAAAGAGCCTTGTGGTGGATGTCTTGGCACTGTAAGGAGAGGGAGGGGGTGGCTAGCCTGTCTCCCTCCCTTGTGCCCCCCCCCAACCCTGGGTCAGGCACTGGCACGGAGGCGTGTGAGCAAATATTTGGTTTGACAGCTTTGGTTTTACTTTACTTCCTTCCTCAGTTCTAAAATTCCTAGGAGTGGGCAGCTCGGCAAAGAGATGCAGCTATTTTTTAAGCATCTTCTTTAAAAAAAAAAAAAAAAAAAAAAACCAGCCAGTGGAAGTAGTACGTGGATTAGAGAGGCCTAGTTGGTTATGGACTTCACACTATCGTGCCGCATAAAATCATCGGCCAAATTAGAAGTAAAGATCAGGCAGTCTTGCTTTGGATCAACCATCCCTATACCAAAATAAGTTTTACGTTTTATGTCTTATATATAATCACCAATTTGGGAGGGGAGATAGTGACGTCCCCGTGATTTACATTTCTCTCCCATATCTCCTTTCCTAAAGCTAACGCCAGACAATCTTAAATAAGAGTGCCATCACTGCTACAACGTGCTTGTGTCTATTTTTTTCTGTCCCACTCTGGTCAAACATTTGGCTGGTTTTTGAAGGCAAAAAAAGGGGAGCAATTAAGCAGCTACCCCCTTTTTGAACCTTTTTCATCTTTCTGAAAAAGCTGATGCTCCTCGTCTCCAGGTTGACAGCAACCTAACTTACTTCCCAACATCCTTACTTGCCCTATACATCTTGACGGTTTTCCCTCCACGCCATTCAACCACCACTCAGCTCCATGCATGGAGATAGGGTCATTTTTGGTCTAGAATCAATTCTTTTAAAAAAAAAAAAAAAAAAAACAAACACATTTTGGTTTTTGGTATTTTTTTGTTGTTTTTTGTTTCGTTTTTTTCCCTTTTTATCTTTTTTTTTGGTTGCAAACCTTTTAAGCGTTTGTTTTTTTTTTTTTGTCTTTTTTCTTCATACAGTAAGAAGCGATAAAGCGGAACATAGACTTTTCTCTATTAAAAAAAAATAGATACCCCCCAAAAAAAGTAAAAATGAAAAGAAATATAACAAAGATCACTAAAACAGTTACATTCCACCTAGAAACACGTTCAGTAGCACGAGAGAGAGAGAGAGAAAGAGAGAGAAAATGAGAGAAATATTTCTCTCCAGTTTTTTTTTCCCCAGATGTCCACCATTATACCGTAACTGAAATCTTTAAAAGGGCTGAATAAATACTTGGCAGTTCTCTCTCACTCACGCACAAAATGGGATGAAAACTTCTTTTTTTTTCAAGTCAATCTTTTAAACTAGGTGTTTCCTGGTTTGTTTGTTTTTTGTTGTTTCGTTGTTGTTGATTGGTTTCTGTTTTGGAAAGTTTCACAGTATTTTTTTTTTCTTTTCTTATCTCAAACCCACCTGAACGTTATAGCACGGCAAAAGCAGGAGATAAAATGAGGTTGAGGGTTTTTGTTTCTGTCCTTTAAGAAAGGTTCAAAGTCCTCTATTTTGTTGTTTGCTTGTTTTTCTTTTTTTTTAACGCTGTCCTTTTGTTTGGTTTTTGATTTCTACCGGATTGCAGTTATGCCATGGCTAACTTCCTTCTCTGCAACAGCAAAACTTTGGTTCGCAGGAGTTGAAAATAAAAGACAAAACATTCAAAGAGCTCCCAAAACATCAATTAACCCACCCAACGTATTAAAAAAAAGAAAACCAAAACCCAGACCATCCAGTTAAAATGAAAACGAAGAAGACCAAGAAAAGAAACGTACAAAAAAAAGTTTAAAAACAATAAAATAAAATAAAATTAAAAAGTGTTTTGAGAAGCCATTTTTAAAGCTTTCCAGACTTCTGGGAGAAAGTTACAGGATCTTCTGATCTTGCCCTCCCCTTCAGTTGATTTGGTTTACTTATTTGTCTCTTTGACATTTATAAAATCCTGGCTTCTCAACACAACTTTCCATGAGGTATTTTTTTTTTTTTTTTTTTTTTTAGGACAGAGAAAGACGGTTGAGCCATTTTGTCTTAACCAGAGAAAAGTAAAGATCTCCCCTTTATTCCCATTTTCATCCTTTCTTCTTTATTTAAAAGTTTCTTGTGGTTATTTATTTTAGCTTCCTTTGTTCGTTTGGTTGGTTCTTTTTGGTTAAAAGTTTCTCTCTCGCCTCCGAGTCTCTGTGATACCCACTTTCTGAGAGGATATATTTTTTTTAATCTCTCTTCTGTCTTTGCTTTTATTTATATTCCCCAGTGGTCTTCATTTTTGTTGTTTTCTGTAGTGATGTCTACCAATTTTTGGTTTTTTTTTTTCTGAAAAATGTAAAGAATGCTGAAATTCCCATTTTTTTGTGTTTTGGTTTTTGTCAGGCACTGGTATATGAGTATTTTTTTTTTCGGAACACAGCTATAAAAATAATAATAGTAATAATAAAAATAAAAAAACCACACATCCTGTTTTCAGAAAAATAACCCCTGATACTAACCCCAGGCAAAACCAATTTAAAAAAAAAATTTTTTAGCTAAGCTCAATAGAAAATTAAAGCTGGCAAAGAAAAGATTCAAGCTGATAGAAAAAAAGTACGGATTTAGTGCTGCCTATTCTTAAAAAGGTGAAGACTCAGACTTTCAATAATGCTTCTTATCCTGCAAAAAGTACTTATATTATACACCCTCTGAGAAATCCAGTTAATATTAATAAAGTAATTCCAGCTGGATGTAATTCCTTCATCCTTATTGTCGGAATGGGAGAGTTTTTGAGAGAGACAGAAACGAGCATTGCAAATATCCGGGTTTTGATGCACCAAATGTTTGCAATGCATCCATATCTCAGGAGGGTCTTCAACATAGAAATTTTGTTCCTCACCTCCTTCTTGCTTTAAGCCCCAGAGAACTAATATAGATATTGGCTGGCAAGTAATCTGAATTTTGTGATCACAAACTGCTTCAGTGGAGCCTATCCCATGGCTGATTAATCAAATAGTCTCTTTGCAAGCAAGAAGCAGCAGAAATAACTTCAGAAAAACTCATTGCAGGACATCAGTCAAGACACCAGCTTCCATAGTGGGAACCAGGTGTCTGATTTTCATTATTGCCTTTGAAAACCCTAGTCTTCATTCCTTATAAGAATCGCCATATATGTATAAAGCTTTGTATTTGTTTCATTTTAAAAAAGAGAGAGCAAAAAAAGCAGAAACATTTGTTAACCATTTAAAAAATAAAAGAACATATTTATAGGAAGATCCTAAAATTAAATCAATCCGTTCTTTTCCTGTCCAACCCTTTCTGGATCCAAGGAAAAGGGAAAGAATAAATAAGAATAAATAAAAGCATTTTGAAAGACATTCGACCAGACACTGAAGATAGAAAAGTTTGTAAAAAGCTTTGGGTGAAGCTAGAACTGGTGATTTTTGGTGTGAGATTTGTATTCCCCTTAAGGATTTTTTAAAGGTTCTTTTAAAAGTATTTTTTTTTTCTTTTTCTTTTTTTACAAAAAAAAATTATCCCCATTTATTGGTTTCCTTTCTAATACTGTCCAGGAAACGAGCAGATGAAAGAAAAAAAAGATAAGTCGTTAAAAGGAATCAAACAGATCATCGACTGTCACCTTTTGCAGAGGGGAAAAACAAATGAATGCCAAAGGTTTGGGGAATTTTTTTTTTTTTTTTGGTTTCTTCCTTTCCCCCCCCCCCTTTTTGCTTTGCTTGTTTGCTTTAGGTTATTATTATTTTTGGGTTGTTTTTCTTCTCGTTTGGCTGTTGCTGACATTTCTTTGTTTGGTTTTGGTGGTTTTGGTTTGCTTGGGTTTTGGGGTTTTTTGTTTTTTTTTTGGTTTCATGTGTCGGTTTGTACGTCCACTCCTGGCTACCCCCGCCATGTCAGAAAAGGCAGCGTGGATGCTCCTGAGTCCTCACTCCATCTTGGCATCCGATTCGGTGGATCCAGGACCAACTTGCCCCATTGTCTGCGCCATGTCAGTGGAGGAGCTGCATGAGGAACAAGAAGAGGAGGAGGAGGAAGAGGAGGAGGAGGAAGTCAGGGTAGGGGACTTGCTAGGCATAGAAGCAGCCATGGCAGCAGCTGCTGACACCAGCCCCACGCCTCCGGGAGCAGCACTCAGCAAAGGCAGGCCCGCGTGGTTGAGGAAGAGCGGCGAGGTCACGATGCTCTGGCTTCCAGTTGTGCCTGCAGTGGTACCCAAAACCAAGTTACCACTGGCATCAAGGCTGGTAATTGGCAGGCTTCCACCAGTGGCCAGGGCTACACAAAGAGAGAGAGAAAAAAACATTGATTAGGCCACATCTGCAATGGCTTCCCGCCCTTGGCCTTGGGATCAATATAGAATTGGTCCAAAGGAGAGAGAGAGTGCCAACACTGCCCTCTTGAAGGATAATCTGACAGGAAACCGTTCTTATCTTTGCGCAAAATATTTTAGAGGCTTCCTCTTTGGGGATTCTTCTCTCGTGTCAAAAAAGACAGGTAGAATTGAAATGGCACTGCCTGGTCCCTCCCACAGCTCTGTCGTTTCTTTCCCCCAACGGAAAAGACACACGGTGCGGGAAGACAGGTTGCACAATCAGTGATTAGCATATATGATGTGAAGGATGCATGTCATGGAGTGTGAAGCCTTCTGCTATGTGGAAATTCAAGATGGAATGGAGAAAGACCTCAATGAGATGAATGAGGAGAGGTTGTGAGGGACTCCACTGACTGGCTGCATGCTCACACACCTGTACTACACACTTGCACACCAGCTCCCAAACAATCATTAGATCAGACCAAGTTGTAGGTTAGAGGCATAATTCAGTAAGAACACCCTTGAAAGAAGAAACGGTGTGCTTTCTCTTTATCTCACTGGGTTAGACAATTTCTATCTGCACAGTCCCAAAAGATCTGCAAAAGATCTTAGATGAAGCAAATTATCTAAGTCAGGATTCAGACCAAAGTCCTGGCTGAAAAGAACCCAGATAATTAGCTTTACCACACCAGGGGTGAGGGGGTTAGAAATGTCATTGATTGTTCTTGTGGATGATAAGAGTCAACAATCTGTTTGGTCAAATATCATATAAGGACTTCCACAGAATCTCATGTTTAATTCCAGGTGGAGATCTACAATTGAGATCATCCCTATTATTTGTTCATTTGATTTAAGAGCCGCCAGATTCCAAAACAACTCTGGTGGTTTACAATTATAATAGGAAAAAAAATTAAAAAGAACCGATGGGGTTTGGATAAACCACACATGTTGAGGATACCTTACTTTAAATTGATGGATGATCTTCCCTGTTGGCTTCTTATATAAGGTAGAAGTTAAATATGAGTAGTATTGCCGACTGGCTGAGGAATTCTGGAAACTGGAAGTCCACAGGTATTAACGGACACCCCTGAAATACATCCTGGCCAAATATCTCCTCCACTAGCTCTGGAAAAGCTGGTGTTCCCAAAGGAACAAGCTCATGACTTGGACACACTCCTGAATTTACAGCTTCATTCTACACATAGTAAACGCCTTATACATAATCAGTTACAATCTCTTCAACCGTGGGGCAACCACAGTTATTTTATCCTCACACACACACACACACAAGCAAGCATCTCCCAAGCTTCGTCAGACAAGCAGCAATCCACGGATGTTGTGCGCCCGACATGCGGCCTCTACAACCTCGCACCCGTTCCTTCGCACAGTTTTTCTCTCACGCCAGCCAGTCCGTGGAGTGAATGGCAGCCACAACATCAAGGGTTTCCATCTTTCTTTCACAAACCTTGTATGGTGGCCAGTGGGTTGGTGGCCATTAGCGCTGAGTTTAACCCTGCATTCACCCCTAGCACTGTGCTTCTGCAATCAAACCAAAGGCAGCAAGTTAAAGCGGGGGCTTCGGGGGGGGGCAAAGATGATCACACTCTTGTCACCCCCATACCCGTTTTTCCTCTGCAGTGTGTCCAGGAATGTATCAGTAGAATCCAACTTACAATACAGATTTTATAGCTTATCCTCTAGAGCACGGATGTCAAACTCGCCGCGTCACGTGACGTGTCACGATGTATTGTGACTTTTTTCGCATTGCCGGAGCTGGGGTGGGTGCGTCCTCCACATGATGCAACTGGCCAGCGGGCCGGCAGTTTGACACCCCTGCTCTATGGCCTCTCTGACTTGTGGACTTCAACTCCCATGGCTGGCTCAGGAACTCTGGGAGTTGAAGTCCACGAGTCATAAAAGGGCCGTAGTTCCCCACCCCTGCTCTAGAAGAAGAAGGAGTCAAGCTACTCTCCAAAGCACCTGAAGGCAGGACAAGAAGCCACGGATGGAAACTAACCAAGGAGAGAAGCAACCTAGAACAGTGATGGCGAAACTTTTAGAGACCGAGTGCCCAAACTTCAACCCAAAACGCACTTATGTATTGCCGGGTGCCAGGTGAGCGTGGCCCGCCAGGTGGGCATGGCTACAGTGGTCATGGCAGATGGGTGGGCGTGGCCAGAGTGGGTGTGGCCAACTCGATGTTGCTCCTGGGGAGGGATGCCAGTGGGGACTCGGCAGGGTTGGGGGAGATCCAGGGGTCTCTGGCGGGTGAGGTGGTGGGCAGGAGGTTGGTTCTGCGGGTTGAGGCAAGAGAGGGCGGGGGTGCCCTTGTCGCAGGACAAGGTGAGGCAGGGGTCGGGGCAGCTCTGCCTGACACCATCGGCCCCCGCACACAAAGGCCAGCAAGGACACGGATGCTGGGATGCATCCGGCCACATGGGACCTCAGCAAGTTAGCGGGTGACTGGTTGAAGAGGACGGATGCCATCTCCGGGGCATGGCACGCGTGCCCACAGAGAGGGCTCCAAGGGCTGCCTCTAGCCCGCGTGCCATAGGTTTGCCACCACTGACCTAGAACTAAGGAGAAACTTCCTGACAGTTAGAACAATTAACCAGTGGAACAACCTGCCTCCAGAAGCGGTGAATGCTCCAACACTGGAAGTGTTTAAGAAGAGACTGGACAGCCATTTGTCTGAACTGGTGTAGGGTTTCCTGCCTGAGCAGGGGGTTGGACTAGATGACCTCCAAGGTCCCTTCCATCTCTGTCCTTCAGTCAACGGGGTGTTAAAGAAGCTCCGCCGAGGATCCCAGTCCAACCTCTGAAGGAACTCAACCCTTTAAAAGCTTTCCCAGTCTTGCCACTTACCCTGTACTGGGATTCAGGGCTTGCAAGCTGAGAGCTGGATGGCTGCTGCTCTGAGGGCTGGGATTTGTGCTGTTGCTCGGGGGTGGCGTGACCGAGTTGAGGGTGGTGCCCCCTGCTCCGACCGCTGTCCGACTGGGGGTTAGGGAGCAGACTGTTGGGGACAAGGTAGTAACTGTCCCAAAATAAGAACAGGAAGTTAGAATGAGAGCTTCGTGCAGAGAGCCCCAAGAAGTGAGGTATTTTGTCTTCAGAGGTAGTCCTTGACGTACGGCCACAATGGAGCCCAATATTTCCGTTGCTAAGCAAGACAATGGTCCAGTGAGTTATGTCCCTTTTACGACCTTCCTTGGCACGGGGGCTAACAAAGGACCACCGTGGGGTTCACCTAGGTCGGGGTAGGCAACCTCGGCTCTTTTGTGACTCGTGGACTTCAACTCCCAGAATTCCTGAGCCAACCATGCTGAGGGAAAAGGGAGAGGTTTCCAAGCTGAGCCATGCTGGCTCAGGAATTCTGGGAGTTGAAGTCCATGAGTCATAAAAGAGCCAAGTTTGAAGACCCCTGGTTTAAATATTTAAATATTTTTCCTCATAGTCACATGATCAAAATTCAGGCATTTGGGCAGGGGTAGGCAACCTTGGCTCTTTTATGACTTGTGGACTTCAACTCCCAGAATTCCTGAGCCAGCCATGCTGAGGGGAAAGGGAGAGGTTGCCAAGCTGAGCCAGGTTGGCTCAGGAATTCTGGGAGTTGAAGTCCATGAGTCATGAGGGGGCCATAGTTCCCCCATGCTGGCTCAGGAATTCTGGGAGTTGAAATCCACGAGTCATAAAAGAGCCGAGGTTGCCTACCCCTGGCCTAGGGCAACCTGACCCCAAACAAACTTAAGTACCACACTATCCAGTTCTTGCTTCACTGAAAGAGTTAATTAAGACAAACATCACTCACTCAGATCTGTCACAAAAGGGACAAATTTGAAGACCCCTGACCTAGTGGGATATACGAGATTCGACCTTTTCCCCCCCTCCCTTTTAATCCACAAAACCGCAACCCTGTGAGATTTGTACTTCAAAGAAGGACGGGATTCACACCCTGCCTAAGTTTAATATGCAACTTGCAAACGAAATGGTCCAGTTTGCAAAATACGGTAGGTGAAATCAAGTCCCAGCAAAGGGATTGTGGTTAGAGCAGAATTTCTCCCCTTGGAGATACGTAGATTTTGCTTTCCCAGAATTCCCTGAGCAGACTAGACACTGCTGAGAATTCTGGGAGTTGAGGTCGACACGTCTGGAGTTGTCAACCTCTCTTTCCCTCTCTCTTCTATTTTCCTCTCCTCATCCAAATATCTGGATATATTATGGCCACCGTGGAGCCCAATATTTCCGTTGCTAAGACAGACAGTGGTTCAGTGAGTTATGTCCCTTTTACGACCTTCCTCGGCATGGGGGTTAACAACTGCATCCCGGCAGTTGTTGCCGGTAACACAGCTGTTAAATGTTCTCACTGGCTTTGTGAGTAGGTTGCCAAAGGTGATCCCATGACCCCAAAAGACTGCAAGCAAGTGCATCCCCCGCCCCCTGGCTTCAGGCATCCAATATGCTCAACCTCTGCTTTTGTCTTCTTAACAGTCCAGAGTCCCAACTATCTCAAAAACCCCTTTGTGGGTCAAAGATCAGGATGCTCTTATATTCCTCTGTTGAATGACATCAATTTTGCACAGTCCCAACGTTCCACCCCAGTAAACTATTCTAAAGGGAAATAAAAGAAAGGAAAATAAGGTTCCTCCTCCAAAAAGGGGGGACTGTGTACCTGTTGTGCTCAGACTACTGGAAGCCTGGGAGAGAGGCAAACTCGTGCCGCTGCCTGTGCTGGTCACCTGAGGAACAGAAATACATAGAGACAAGGATTTGTCACTGGCATAATGGATAGACACATGTAACGGTAAGCAAGCTTTCCCTCGTGCACCACCAGGGGGCAGGAATGGTTTTTCCAAAAGTGCTCTTTAGGACTTGTTGAATGGAGGAAATAGCATCAGCCATAGTGTGGAGAGCACGTTGATGACAACCAATTGTATCTCTGAACCCCTGGCTGGCCAAGAGATGCTGGCAAGCCTTGTCCTAGGCCAGGGCTAGGCCACTTTGACTCATTTATGTCTCGTGGACTTCAACTCCCAGAGTTCCTGAGCCAGCATGGGGGAAACTATGGCTCCTTCATGACTGGTGGACTTCAACTCCCAGAATTCCTGAGCCAGCATAGCTCAGCGTGGCTGGCTCAGGAATTCTGGGAGTTGAAGTCCAGAGTCATAAAAGAGCCAGGGTTGCCTACCCCTGCCCTATACCGTTCCAGACAAGTGGCTGTCCAGTCTCTTCTTAAAAGCCTCCAGTGATGGAGCACCCACAACTTTTGGAGGCAAGTTGTCCCACTGCTTAATTGTTCTGTCAGGAAATTTCTCCTCAGTGCTAGGTTGCTTCTAGAACGAAGGAGAAATTTCCTAATGGTGAGAGCAATAGACCAATGGACTAGCTCAGGGGTAGGCGACCTTGGCTCTTTTATGACTGGTGGACTTCAACTCCCAGAATTCCTGAGCTAGCATGGCTCAGCATGGAAACCTCTCCCTTTTCCCTCAGCGTGGCTGGCTCAGGAATTCTGGGAGTTGAAGTCCACGATCATAAAAGAGCCAAGGTTGCCTAACCCTGTCCCAGGGCCTGGAGGCTGTTGGGAGTCTGGATGGGGAGGCACATTTGGCTTAACCTCTACTTCAGTAGCTGTAGGTTCATGGACCAGTCAGTACTGAGGATTTTCCAAGCTTAGTTCTCCGTTGGGTTGTATTTCCCCAGATGGAACTGACATGCGGTTTGGGGGTTTACCTGCACTGGTTTACCTGCTCAGGGTTGAACGTTATAGGTCTATAACTTGAAGGTGCTTCTGACACGAATAAAGAATCTGCACTGATAGGTCCTGCCAGAGCTTTTTTTCCTCATAAAATGCCCAGAACAGAGTTCCAGCACCTTTTCTGGATGGAACCTTGTAGGTAGGCAAGGCAGGTTGTATGACGTGTGTGAGTTCCGGCACCTTTTTTTTTTTTTAGAACAAAAGCACTGGGTCCTGCTTTATGACCCCGTAGTCCCTAATTGGGGTAGAGTCGGGATGACTGGATGGAGTTGAACATTTACTGGCCAGATGCCCTTCCTGACACCTACGCAGAGTTCACAGCAAATAATTTTTCCTTTTCACCTTAGGAGAGAAATAACTACCTACCGTAGGATTGAAATTTCTAGCCTTCCGAGTAGGAGGCAAGCGTCTTCATCAGTAGACCACCAGCTGCTCATTCAGAGTGTGTGTGTGTGTGTGTGTGTGTGTGTGTGTGTGTGTGTGTGTGTGTGTGTAAAGTATGTGCAGTATATACACCAGATAGATAGATCAGGGGTGTCAAACTTGCAATGTCACGTGACATGTCTCAACGTATCACGACTTTTTTACATTGCTGGCAATGGGGTGGGTACAGTTTTGGCATGACGCATCTGGTCCGCAGGCCAGCAGTTTGACACCCCTAGCATAGACGGACGGACAGGTGGACAGACAGATAGATGATAGATAGATAAGATAGATGATAGATAAGATAGATGATAGATAGATAGATATAGATAGATAGATAAGATAGAAACAGATTAGATACATAGATTAGATACATAGATAGATAGGATATAGATAGATACATAGATAAGAGATAGGTATCTATCTATCTATAGATAGATAGCTAGTTAGATATATTAGATAAGATAGATAGATAGCTAGATAAACAGACAGACAGACAGATTCTGAATAAGCGGCATGGTGATCTAGTGATGCAGATGCTCACCTCCCACTTGTTTTCTATTCCCAAACCCCTTTTGGGGTGTGTGTGTGTGTGTGTGTGTGTGTGTGTAGGGCTGTAGAAGAAGGCAAAGAAAAGGGTACGGGAAGTACAAAATGAGAAGACAGCAGGTAAAAATCACGTAAGACGTGTTGCTGAAGGGACTTTTGAAAATGTCAGCATCCCATGGGAAAGCCACAAGACGGGTCAACTGAGGCAGGCTGTCAGGTAGGAGGGAAACGTGGGAATTCACCATGAGAGGGCTGTAGCCAGCAGGCTTGCTCTGGGCAGGCAATATGGGAGCAGAGCTGCAAGGGTTGATCCGTTTCTCTTTCTGGCGGCGGTTGCAGAACCAGACACGAATCACCTCCTTCTCCATGTTCAGCTGTTCGGCAATAAGTAGGATCTCCTCTGAGGTAGGCTTCTGGTTCTGTCAGGGGAGATAGAAGGGTAAGGGCAACATCCGGTTGTGGGGAGAAGTGAATAGCAAGCAGCAGGACAGGGAACTATTCCTTTAGGGTCTGAGAAATGGATAAAACGGATTGTATAGCCGCCCATATTACCTGCATTACCAGTTGGTTACAGGTCATTCTCGAGTTAGGGCAACAATGGAGCCCAAAGTCACTAAGCAAGACACTTGTTAAGTAAGGGTAACCCCATTTCATGACCTCATTTAGTGCCACAATTATTAAGTGAATCACTGCAGCTGTTAAGTGAGTGGTTGTTAAGCAAATCGGACTTCCCCATTGGCTTTGTTCGTCAGATGGTTGCAAAGGGGGATCGCATGACTCCGGGACACTGGAACCGTCATAAATATGAGGCTCTGGGACACTGCGACTGTCATCAATAGGAGACTTCGGGACACTGCAACCATCATAAATATGAGACTCCGGGACACTGTGACCATCATAAATAGGAGACTCCGGGACACTGCGACTATCATAAATAGGAGACTTCGGGACACTGCGACCGTCATAAATAGGAGACTTTGGGACACTGCAACCGTCATAAATAGGAGACTTCGGGACACTGCGACTGTCATAAATAGGAGACTCCGGGGCACTGCGACCATCATAAATAGGAGACTTCGGGACACTGCAACCGTCATAAATAGGAGACTCCGGGACACTGCAACCATCATAAATATGAGACTCCGGGACAGTGCGACAGTCATAAATAGGAGACTTCGGGACACTGCGACCGTCATAAATAGGAGACTCCGGGGCACTGCGACCGTCATAAATAGGAGACTTCGGGACACTGCGACCGTCATAAATAGGAGACTCCGGGGCACTGCGACCGTCATAAATAGGAGACTTCGAGACACTGCGACCATCATAAATATGAAACTCCTGGACACTGCGGCCGTCATAAATAGGAGACTCCGGGACACTGTGACCGCCATAAATAGGAGCCAGTTGCTAAACCTCTGAATTTTGATCATGTGACTACGGGGATACTGCAACAGTGGTAAGTGTGCAAAACGGTCATGTCACTTTTTTCCCACCACAGTTGTAATTTCGAACAGTCATTGAACGAGTGGTTGTAAACCGAGGACTACCTGCATAATATAGGCAACCATATAAACGTTCTAAATAAATGCAGGTAGTCCTCAACTTATGACCTCAATGGACCCCAACATTTCTGTTGCTAAGCAAGATGTGGGTTAAGGGAATTTTGCCCCATTTTTATGACCTTTCTCACCACGGTTGTTAAGCGAATCGCTTGCTAAGTTAACAACAAGACTGTTAAAGTGAGACTGGCTTCTTCCCCGTTGACTTTACTGGTCAGAAGGTCACAAAACTGGATCAAATGACCCTGGGGATGTTGCAACCATCATAAATATGAAGCAGTTGCCAGGCGTCCCAATTTTAAGCACGTGACCCCGGGGATGCTGCAACGGTCGCAAGTGTGAAAAACGGTCATCAGTCCCTTTAGTGACTTTGAATGGTCACTAAACGAACTGCTGTTAAATCGAGGACCACCTGTACAGGAACGCAATTTTAAATGGCCCACGTCAAGTGGAAGCATTAAAAGAAAGCCGCACGGGTGACAACTTTACTTAAGTTTCTTCTCCGCTGCACGGGCGCAGCGTCTATTGATTTGAAGAGGGAAGGGATGAGGGAAGGGTTAGGGCTGCCCTGGAGGGGATGGTTTTTACCGCTAGAAAGCTTTTTTCCAATGCAAAGCGGACATTGGTCTCAATGCTGGTCCGTTTCTTACGACGTCGGCCTGGCAGCCCGTCAAAACCCAGGTTGGGGCTGCTCAGCTGGTTGGGGCTGGGAAGCGTGGAGTCCACCGACATTGTCTCTGCAACATGTTGAGGACAAACATTTATGCACCTCCTGAGTAACACTCTATGACTCGACCCCCCCCTCTTTCCATCGCTCTCTTTTCAACTGCCTACTTTCCCCCACCTTCCTCCCTTTTCTCTCCCACCTAATTGTAGCTATGTCTGTACGACTGCATCCTTTGTTGATGGAGCAAACAGGAACGGAGTTTCTCACTGGAAGGTCATAAGCTCCTTATAGGGCCATACACCCCACCGCTCAGACCTGTTTGTTTCGTGCTACCCCATCTTCCTTTCTGTCACCCTCAGACCACGAAGGCTGTTGCTTGGCCCCTACATCAGGCTAAACTATGGTTTCTGAATGAGCTACAACTCGCTGGCTTCACGCGGCATGGTAAGCTTGTTTACATGGGCCACCAACGGCAGGAAAGCCCAAACTACAAAAAATAAAATAAAAATGCAATAACAGAGTAACAAGAGTTGGAAGGGACCTTGGAGGTCATCTAGTCCAACCCCCTGCTCAAGCAGGAGACCCTATACCAGGGGTAGGCAACCTTGGCTCTTTTATGACTCGTGGACTTCAACTCCCAGAATTCCTGAGCCAGCATGAGGAACTATGGCCCCCTCATGACTGGTGGACTTCAACTCCCAGAATTCCTCAGCCAGCATGGCTCAGCTTGGAAACCTCTCCCTTTCCCCTCAGCATGGCTGGCTCAGGAATTCTGGGAGTTGAAGTCACAAGTCATAAAACAGCCAGGGTTGCCTACCCCTGCCCTACACCATTTCAGACAGGTGGCTGTCCAGTCTCTTCTTAAAATCCTCCAGTGATGGAGCACCCACAACCTCTGCAGGCAAGCCGTTCCATTGGTTGATAGTTCTTACTATCAGGACATTTCTCTTTGGTTCTAGATTGTTTCTCTCCTTCATTGGTTTCCAACCATTATTTCTTGTCTTGCCTTCTGGTGCTTTGGAAAATGGGTTGACCCCTTCTTCTTTGCGGCAGCCCCTTCGATATTGGAACAATACTATCATGTCTCCCCTAGTCCTTCTTTTCACTAGATTAGACATATCCAATTCCTGCCATGATTCTTGGCATGTTTTAGCCCCCAGCCCCCCAATCATCTTTGTTGCTCTTCTCTGACCTCTTTCCAGATCCTCAACGTCTTTTTTTATACTGTGGTGACCCAAACTGGAGCAATAGTTTATGTGTGAATGCAGCTGGGTCTTCCCTGTTATCTTCATTGCAACTTTCAGAATAACCTCTTTGACCAAACTCTTTTTTCTTCTCTGGCATTAACAAACCTCCCTTGTCCCACTCTCAGGCGGGTCATCCCGAGTGGAGCTCAGCTTTATCATACTCCACCGTTTTTCCTTACCAGCGTCATTCAGCCATTTCTCCAGAAGAGGTTTGAGTTTGCACATGTTCTTGAAGCTGAGGTTCAGTGCCTCAAAGCGCGAGATGGTCGTTTGGCTGAAGTCATTCCCATAAAGCTTCCCCATAGCCAACCCCACGTCACCCTAGGAAGGATGGAGGGAAGAAAAGGGAGAGAAGCAATTATTGAGAGAATGCCAAGGCTGTGTGCATGCCACAATTCCCTGCAAATCTATTTCCACTCCACACATAGCTCTTCTCCTTTCATGAGGCAGAGCTACATCTTACTCTTCCTCAACCGAGCCAAGCATTCCGAGCATGTACCTGTGTGAAGCCCAACTTGATGCGCCGTTGTTTGAAGGTGCGGGCGAACTGTTCCAGCTCCTCCAGGTCGCTGGGCTCCTCGGGGTGCGAAGGGGTCTCCAGGCATTTGGGTGGCTGTGAGTGAGTGAGGTGGGACTCGGGGAGGCCAGGCCGAGTCACTTGCTGGCGAAGAGGAAGAAATTTAAAAAAAAATGGGAATCTAAGAGACCCAGAAGGACCAAACACAAGTCCAGGCAGACTGTACTACCAAACTCAAGTGGAAAAATAAACGCACTAACTGATTATTATAACTGATGGGGACTGCAGCCAAGAAATTAAAAGATGCTTGCTCCTGGGGAGGAAAGCTAAGGCAAATGAGACAGCATACTAAAAAGCAGAGACATCACCTGCCAACAAAAGTACCTATAGTCAAGGCCATGGTCTTCCCAGTTGCAATGTATGGCTGTGAAAGTTGGACCATAAGAAAGGCTGAGCTTTCAACTGAGGCCTTTGAACTCTGGTGCTGGAGAAGACTCCTGCGAGTCCCCTGGATTGCAAGGCGATCAAACCGGTCAGTTCTAGAGGAGATCAACCCTGACTGCTCTTTAGAAGGCCAGATCCTGAAGTTGAAATTCAAATACTTTGGCCACCTAATGAGAAGGAAGGACGCGCTGGAGAAGGGCCTAATGCTGGGAAAGATGGAGGGCAAGAGAAGAAGGGGACGACAGAGAAGGAGGTGGCTGGATGGAGTCCCTGAAGCAGGAGGCATGAGCTTAAAGGGACTCCAGAAGATGGTAGAGGACAGAAAGGCCTGGAGGAACGTTGTCCATGGGGTCGCGATGGGTCAGACACAACTTCTAACAACAACAAACTGATTATTTAATAGCCTATGCGATGCCTGGGCTAAGACGGGAGGCGCTTCCCTCCCTTCGTGAGCTCCAAAAGCCGTTTACTTCTTTCAGTCTTTGGCGGGTTAGGAATGGACATTATTTGCTCACTGAGATTCCGGGCTTAAATGCTTGCCACTAATTTAATCCTGGAGAACATGAACCAGCATGATCATCTAAGCAGAACAAAAAGAGGGCAAAACAAAATATTTGCATGGTGTTTATTTCCTTCTTTACCTCGGCAAGCGTTTTACACAGAGAAGCCTGTTTCTCTTTCCTTCCTTGCTCACCTGTGCTGGGAGTCCTGCACGAGGCTGGTTCGACAGGAGGCTCCCTGGATTTTGCTGAGGTAGCTGAAATAAATTTGGTGTCGGAAGCAGCCCTGTGGGGAAGTGAGGGAGGAAAAGACTCGGTTTAATCTCCGAAAAGGCCCAACATGTTTTTTTTTGTCCTTTGTGGGCCAAATTACAGCCCAGTTAAGTGATGAGCAGCCACCGCTTAAAATTTAGTGCCGCCTTAAGTGTGAAAGCCAATTGGGTGACTTTGGGGCCAATCACCAGGAGACGGTGAGTTCTAGTCCCGCCTTAGGCATGAAAGGGTGACTTTAGGGCCAATCACCATGAGACGGTGAGTTCTAGTCCCGCCTTAGGCATGAAAGCTGATAGGGTGACTTTGGGGCCAATCACCAGGAGACGGTGAGTTCTAGTCCCGCCTTAGGCATGAAAGCTAATAGGGTGACTTTGGGGCCAATCACCAGGAGACGGTGAGTTCTAGTCCCGCCTTAGGCCTGAAAGTTGACAGGGTGACTTTGGGGCCAATCACTAGGGGACAGTGAGTTCTAGTCCCACCATAGGCATGAAAGCCGATTGGGTGACTTTGGGGCCAATCACCAGGAAACAGTGAGTTCTAATCCCGCCTTAGGCATGAAAGTTGACAGGGTGACTTTGGGGCCAATCACCAGGAGACGGTGAGTTCTAGTCCCCCTTTAGCCATCAAAGTTGGGTGACTTTGGGGCCAATCACCAAGAGATGGTGAGTTCTAGTCTCGCCTTAGGCATGAAAGTTGACAGGGTGACTTTGAAGCAATCACTCTCTCTTAGCCCAGCCCACCTCACAGGGTTGTTAGGATGTGGAAAACAGGAAGAGGTAGTAGGTATGTCTGCCACCTCAAGTTATTTATTAAAATAGCAAAGGAGGGATGATTTTTTTTTTAAAAAAAGATTATCTTCTCACCTTGCTGTCCCTGCTGGGCCTGTGGCAGCAGGAACTGTGCAGGGGGCTGCAGGGGGTGCCCTGGGACAAGGACTAACTGCTGGAGCTGCAGCAGCTGCTGGATATCCTAGAAGAGAAATAACCGGGAGGAGAAATAGGGCGGAAACATCTCCACCACAACGCAGAGATATCCTATTTCAGGGGTAGGCAACCTTGGCTCTTTTATGACTCGTAGACTTTAACTCCCAGAATTCCTGAGCCAGCCATGCTGAGGGGAAAGGGAGAGGTTTCCAAGCTGAGCCATGCTGGCTCAGGAATTCTGGGAGTTGAAGTCCACCAGTCATAAGGGGGGCAAAGTTTCCCTCATGCTGGCTCAGGAATTGTGGGAGTTGAAGTCCATGAGTCATAAAGCGACCTAGGCCTAGGCCAGAGGTAGGCAACCTTGGCTCTTTTATGACCCATGGACTTCAACTTCCACAATTCCTAAGCCAGCATGGGTGAAACTATGGCCCCTCCATGACTCGTGGACTTCAACTCCCAGAATTCCTGACCCAGCATGGCTCAGCATGGAATCCTCTCCCTTTCCCCTCAGCATGGCTGACTCAGGGATTCTGAGAGTTGAAGTCCACGAGTCATAAAAGAGCCAAGGTTGCCTGCCCCTGCCCTATTTTCAAGGCGGTTGAACTTCCGGAGAGATTCCTGAGAATTATACTTGCCCTGAGACCACCAAGCACTTTTCTCCCCTGGAACCTTGGCTCCCGGGAGCTTCCCAGAAGGGAGGTGATGACCAGGGGACCCGTTTCAATGGAGACAGTGCAACGGCCGGCCCTGTCTCAGGCCATCCCATCGGAGAAGCAGTTTTCCCTCTGAAACATCCCTCCTTCCCTTCCAAGGGCAGGTGACCGGGCGATGGAGAGAAGCTCTTGTGGCTGGCCCTGCGCGAAGCTCCCTGCTTCGTGCCCAAGCCCTTACCTGTGCCGTGAGCTGGATGGGTTGGGACAAGGCCAGCTGGGGCGTCTGGGGCTGGCTCTGTGGTGCTGGCAGTTCAGCCCCAGGTTGCTGAGAGGAGGAGGAGGCAGCGGCGGCGGCGGCAGCATTAGACTGCTGCACGGCAGCTGCCAAAAGCTGTGCTTGCGCCTGCTGCAGGAGCAGCTGCTGTTGGGCGGGCATCAGGGCAGTGAGCTGTACGAGAGAGGGGGCAGCAGGGCGGGCAGCAAGCAGGAGGCAAAGAGACAGGGAGGGAGGGAAGGAAGGAGGGAAAAAAGGAAGGAAGGAAAAAGAAAAGGAAAGAAGGAAGGAAGGAAGGAAGGAAGGAAGGAAGGAAGGGAAGGAAGGAAGGAAGGAGAGAGAGAAAAGGGAAGGGAGGAAGGGTCAGAGACAAGGAAGGAAGGAAGGGAAGGAAGGGTCAGAAGAAGGAAGGAAGGAAGGAAGGAAGGAAGGAAGGAAGGAAGGAAGGAAGGAAGGAGAGAAAAAGGGAAGGGAGGAAGGAAGGGTCAGAGAGAAGGAAGGAAAGAGAGAAAAAGGAAGGAAGGAAGGAAGGAAGGAAGGAAGGAGAGAAAAAGGGAAGGGAGGAAGGAAGGGTCAGAGAAGGAAGGAAGGAAGGAGAGAAAAAGGAAGGAAGGAGAGAAAAAGGAAGGAAGGAAGGAAGGAAGGGTCAGAAGAAGGAAGGAAGGAAGGAAGGAAGGAAGGAAGGAAGGAAGGAAGGAGAGAAAAAGGGAAGGGAGGAAGGAAGGGTCAGAGAGAAGGAAGGAAGGAAGGAGAGAAAAAGGAAGGAAGGAAGGAAGGAAGGAAGGAAAGAAAAAGGGAAGGGAGGAAGGAAGGGTCAGAGAAGGAAGGGAGGAAGGAAGAGTCAGAAAGAAGGAAGGAAGGAAGGAAGGAAGGAGAGAAAAAGGGAAGGGAGGAAGGAAGGGTCAGAGAGAAGGAAGGAAGGAGAGAAAAAGGAAGGAAGGAAGGAGAGAAAAAGGGAAGGGAGGAAGGAAGGGTCAGAGAAGGAAGGAAGGAAGGAAGGAGAGAAAAAGGAAGGAAGGAGAGAAGAAGGAAGGAAGGAAGGAAGGGTCAGAAGAAGGGAGGAAGGAAGGAAGGAAGGAAGGAAGGAAGGAAGGAAGGAAGGAAGGAGAGAAAAAGGGAAGGGAGGAAGGAAGGGTCAGAGAGAAGGAAGGAAGGAAGGAGAGAAAAAGGAAGGAAGGAAGGAAGGAAGGAAGGAAGGAAGGAAGGAAGGAAGGAAGGAAGGAAGGAAAGAAAAAGGGAAGGGAGGAAGGAAGGGTCAGAGAAGGAAGGGAGGAAGGAAGAGTCAGAAAGAAGGAAGGAAGGAAGGAAGGAAGGAAGGAAGGAAGGAAGGAAGGAAGGAAAGAAAAAGGGAAGGGAGGAAGGAAGGGTCAGAGAAGGAAGGGAGGAAGGAAGAGTCAGAAAGAAGGAAGGAAGGAAGGAAGGAAGGAAGGAAGGAAGGAAGGAAGGAAGGAAGGAAGGAAGGAAGGAAGGAAGGAGCAAGTTAGTCAACTACATTCCCTGCTCTCAGCAAAAAGCCAGAAACCTTCTCAGATAGACAGCCAGGCAGTTCTGCTTTGGACAGAGACAAAGCTCACGCACAACACGGGGAGAAGAGGGGTGTGTTGCTCATTGTCACGCGTGGAAGTTCAAGCAAAGGTGTACCTGTCGGATTCCTCCTTGTCCACCGGAAAAGGCACAGGAGGGATGGGGAGGGTTGCTAATAAGAGGGAAGCATCAGCCAGGTTTCACTAGGCAGGGTGGAATTGTATCTCTTTCTCCAGCGGCCTCGGGGTCAGAGGCTGAGTTAGCTCCATCTGCTTCCCCAGCCTCCATCCATCCCACGAGAGCACGACTGAAGAGAACGGGGAGGGCTCCAAAACGACCCATCTCTCCCCCTTCCTTGTGTAGGTCAGACAACCTCTCCCAGTGCGATATAGATCAGGCATTTGGGGATTACAAGCAGTCCTTGACTTACAGCCATTTGTTAGGATGCAACACTGCAGGCTACCTCTGTTGAGTCCCGGCTGCCGGCAGTTCGGCAGTTCGATTCTCACCAGCTCAAGGTGGACTCAGCCTTCCATCCTTCTGAGGTGGGTCAAATGAGGACCCAGAATGTTGGGGGGCAACAGGCTGACTCTGTAAACCGCTTAGAGAAGGCTGTAGAGCACTGTGAAGCGGTATATAAGTCTAAGGCAGTGGTTCTCAACCTGTGGGTCGGGACCCCACTTGGGGTCGAACGACCATTTCACGGGGGTCGCCAAACAACGCAGTCCGCCATTTTCCCCCCCTTTTCCTTAGCTGTGCTACTCCCTTTTATTCTATTGGCTTTTGAAAGCCAATAGAATAGACTCTCTTGAATAGAGTCTAATTCTATTGGCTTTCAAAAGCCAATAGGAATTGTCCAGGCTGTCTCTGCCCTGCTGAGCCCGCCAAAAGTCCCATTCTGCAAACGGTGCTGCACCAGTTGAGTAGTCCTCGACTTACGACCGGTTGAGTAGTCCTTGACTTACGACCGGTTGGGGGTCGCAGCATTAAAAAGGTTGAGAACCACTGGTCTAAGGACTATTGCTCTTTGTTTCGTGACCAGTTACAACGGCACTGAAAAAAGGTGATTCAGAGGATCATTTTTCACACTTATGACTGTTGCAGCATCCCCCCAGTCTCGTGATCACAAAATTCAGACGCTTGGCCACTGGCTCGTATTTTTGACGGTTGCAGTGTCCCGGGATCACGTGATCCCCTTTTGTGACCTTCTGACAAGAAAAGCCAACGGCAAAAGCCAAATTCAACTAACATCCGTTTTACTAACCTACCAACTTGCAGCGATCCACTTAACCGCTGTGGCAAGAAAAGTGGGGCAAAACTCACTGAACAAATGTCTCACTTCATAACAGCAATTGCGGGAACAATTGTGGCTGTAAGTCGAGGATATTGTATAAAGGTCTATTTAAGTAATGTCTAGATCAGGGCTTTTCAACCTTTTCACCCATTGTACCACTTTTAGGATATGGCAACATCCAAGTACCACCAGCTGCCTAACAAGGTGTCAAAAACTTGATGACCCCCCCCCCAAAAAAGGAAAAAAAGTGATAAAGTACAGGTAGTCCTTGACTTACAACAGTTCGCTTAGTGACTGTTCGAAGTTACAATGGCACTGAAAAAAGTGCCTCCCAAGACACAGCCGAGCAAGACACCTGCCTGCCCGCCTGGCAGCGCTCTTCCTCCTGTCTGAGGCTTTCATTGTTGTGAGCATTTCTGTTGAGGATTAGCAGCAGGGATGGGGTGGGGGGTTGTTTGGTTTTTATTCCCCCCCATCTACTGGGTGGTTGCAGCAGGTTTTGGCCATTTCACATGACCCTAGGACACTGTGACCGTCATAAATATGAATCAGTTGCCAAGCATCTGAATGTAAATCACAAGACCCTGGAGAGGCTGCAACATTCCAGCTGATCGGTGCTTCTTCTTCTGGGCTCAGCAGAAGAGCCAGGATCAGTGCTGCTTTCCAGTTGATTGGTGCTTCTTCAGGGCTCAGCAGAAGCACCAGGATCAGCGCCGAGCTCCAGTTGGAGCCAGGCGCTGATCCTGGCGCTTCCACTGAGCCCTGAGAGCCCTGCAGGTCCAGCCGTCTCTCGCTCAGGCTTGTGCGGTGCTGCCACCGGTTCAGCTCATTCCCCTCCCCTGCTACCACTTTTCTAGGATGGTCGCTTACCACCTGCCAAGTGCCAATGTACCACAGGTGGTACCCGTACCACTGGTTGAAAAGCCCTGGTCTAGATAACCATAAACTATTGAAGTATACTCAGCATGGACATTCTCCTTTTAGGAGAAACGGCTGGTTGCACGTATGGTATGATCTAAGCCTACAGTCAATGTTTGAACTTGCCAGCGTGGATTGCAGCCTCCACTTTCCTCAACCTTTGATACTCGGGGCAGAAATAATTCGAGAGGTTTCAGTATTGTTCTGCCTGCTGCACTTACCCCAGCAAGTTGGCTGCCCGCTAACATGAGCTGAGCCTGGGGTAGGTGCGGCTGCTGAGCTTGGGGGGCTGGGGCTGGGGCTGACACTGGAGCCGGAGGCATTTCTGCAGAGTCTTCAGCTTTGATCTGGAAGGGAATAATAATAATCTTGAGTTCGACGATCCATTAATTATTAATTAATTAATTAATTATTCTTTATCGAATTGTTGAGTTCCCATCACCAGACTGCGAATCTACCTGTAGATTACCCATATAGAGTAATAGTTAATAGGCCACCTTGCATGCAATTATAAAATATCGGGAGCACCGCTTGAACCCCCTCGGCATTGACACAATACACCATCGGTCAATTGCAAAAGGCAGCTGACCTCCTGCCGCAATGACTTTAAACACCCTCAGTCATCCACATCTGCCTATCCCATGTCCTTGGGAAGGACTTGATAGGCAGATAAAAATGCCAAATCCAGTCTAAACATCTGGCTGGCCGCGGGACCAACCATAATATAGACAGTCCTTGACTTACAACAGTTACAATGGCACTGGAAATAGTGACACGACCGTTTTCACACTTACGACCATTGCAGCCTCCCCCATGATCATGGGATTAAAATTCGGATGCCTGGCAACTGACTCCTATTTATGATGGTTGCCATGTCCCGAGGTCACATCCTCACATTTGAGGACCTTGTGACAAGCAAAGTCAACGGGGGAGCCAGATTCACTTAACAACTGTGTTGCTAACTTAACAACTGCAGTGATTCACTTAACAACTATGGCAAGAAAGCTCATAAAATGGGACAAAAATTGCTTCACAAATGTTGCACTTAGCAACATAAATCTGGCGCTCAGCTGTGGTTGTAAAGCCAAGGACTACCTATAAAGGCAACTTTGCTTTCCAACTCCGCATAAACATACATCTTTCTGACCCTACTGTTTTCTTCCTGGGCCCAAGCTCCATTATTAGAAGGACAGATGGCTCTTTTTTTGTATTTTTTTTTTTTAAAAAACCCTCATCTGAAGTGAATAGTTATGTCTCAGTCTAGAACCCAGGCTCAAGAAAGGAAATGGGGTAACTGTTAGAAGGATCTTGCACTGGATCAGGGGTAGGCAACCTTGGCTCTTGTAGGACTGGTGGACTTCAACTCCCAGAATTCCTGAGCCAGCCGTGCTGAGGGGAAAGGGAGAGGTTATGCTGAGCCATGCTGGCTCAGGAATTCTGGGAGTTGAAGTCCACGAGTCATAAAAGAGCCAAGGTTGCCTACCCCTGGCTTAGCGTGACATGACGTTACCCGGTCGGATCATGAGACATCTGCAAACAAACCACCAAGCTCAGAGAGCACCAAGGACCCCATAGTCCTCCTCCCCTTTTCCTCCTCCATTCTGCAAACCCAACTCTATTATTTATTTATTTATTTATTTATTTATTTATTTATTAATTAATTAATTAATTAATTATGTATTTAAGACATGGAAGGTACATCTGAGTCTAGTACAGGGGTAGGCAACCGTGGCTCTTTTCTGACTCGTGGATTTCAACTCCCAGAATTCCTGAGCCAGCAAGGGGGAAACTTTGGCCCCTTCATGACTCATGGACTTCAACTCCCAGAATTCCTGAGCCAGCATGGCTCAGCTTGGAAACCTCTCCCTTTCCCCTCAGCATGGCTGGCTCAGGAATTCTGGGAGTTGAAATCCGCCAGTCATAAAAGAGCCAAGGTTGCCTACCACTAATCTAGGTCTATCTATCTATCTATCTATCTATCTATCTATCTATCTATCTATCTATCTATCTATCTATTTATCTATCTATCTATCTATCTATCATCTAGGCCAGGGGCAGGTAACCTTGGCTTTTTTATGACTCGTGGACTTCAACTCCCAGAATTCCTGAGCCAGCATGGCTCAGCTTGGAAATCTCTCCCTTTCCCCTCAGCGTGGCTGGCTCAGGAATTCTGGGAGTTAAAGTCCACCAGTCATAAAAGAGCCAAGGTGGCCTACCCCCGCACTGGATGGATTCAGCCCTCTGTCCCAGCTTGGCGAAAAAAGAGGGCGATTCAGCGTAGACTCTGAATTTCAGCCAAAATCCTGTGCCCTTCAACTTGAGGAATTCCAAGCAAGGGGATCCAAACCCTCCAACTTAAATCTCTGCAACCCTGCGGAAATGTAGTAGGGGGGTTCTTTGTAGGGAGGAGAAACAACACAGTACACTACATTCACATGCCGCCCACTGACCAGTGCAAGATGATTTATCGTTACTCGGCTTCCTGTTTTGCTGCCAGGGTTGGGGCACAGGGAATTCCCCCCTTAAACCAAACCTTGATTCACAGGTTCCTATCAAGCTGATAACAAAAGCACAGCGCCCTTCCCATTGGGGTCTTTCTTTGTTAGCGTGATTTTTGACCTACAATGTCCAGCTCTGGCCTTTGTTGGGAGGGGGAGTTTCAGGATTTCCAAGGGAGCAGCCTAAAGGGCCAGACCAGAATTATTTGCAACATTGCAGAAAATGCAACTTTTAAAATTACGTTAAGAGCTGAGCTGTTGAAGTTATCTAATTCTATGTCACAAAAAAAAAGAGAGAAAAAAAAGGGAACAGATTGTGGTTTGGACAATATGCAAATTTTTTCTGTGCAATCAGTTTAATCAAAATGCAAGTGATTAATCCAGTTAAACACACACACACACACACACACACACACACACACACACACACACACACACACAGATTATAGTTTTGTCATAGCATCATTCAAGCAAACTTCAAAGGTTTTTGTCTCATTTCAAAGCTTAACAGACCCTAGACAGGCAATTTAAAAACTGGAGTGATGAATTATGGGCTATGACCTCCCTTTTCATCATACCTCCAAGACTTTACAAGATTATGTATATAATCATTGACAAATACGATGTTTGTTCATAAAGGTGTTTCTTTCATAAACACTTAGTGCACAGTTACAGTTTTAAAGCATTAGCCTAGACTAGGGGTAGGCAACCTGGGCTCTTTTATGACTGGTGGACTTCAACTCCCACAGCCAGCTATGCTGAGGAGAAAGGGAGAGGTTTCCATGCTGAGCCATGTTGGCTCAGGAATTCTGGGAGTTGAAGTCCACCAATCATAAAAGAGCCAAGGTTGCCCACCCCTGTCCTAACCTCATCCCTCAGAACAGGGTGGGAACTATGGCAACTTTATGACTCATGGACTTCAACTCCCAGAATTCCCGAGCCAGCCGTGCTGAGGGGAAAGGGAGAGGTTTCCATGCTGAGGCAAGATGGCTCAAGAATTCTGGGAGCTGAAGTCCACAAGTCATAAAAGAGCCAAGGTTGCCTACCCCTGTCCTAGACGAGAGCTTCTCAACCATGGCAACTTGAAGATGGGTGGACTTCAACTCCCAGAATTCCCCAGAACAAAAGGTGAACACTCCTATTATCTCGTCCCCAAGAATCCACCATTTTCCTTGTTCCTGGACTGAAGTTAAAGCCCACCTCAACACAGCTTCTGACCCCAAGTCAGTCCAAATGCCAGATGCCTTCTGAGAAGAAATGACATCACTTAGGTCAGGGTAGGCAACCTTGGCTCTTTTATGACTGGTGGACTTCAACTCCCAGAATTCCCGAGCCAGCCGTGCTGAGGGGAAAGGGAGAGGTTTCCATGCTGAGGCAAGATGGCTCAAGAATTCTGGGAGCTGAAGTCCACGAATCATAAAAGGGCCAAGGTTGCCCACCCCTGTCCTAGAGGGAGCTGGGCTGTGTGGTTAGCATAAACCTAGACCAGGGGTAGGCAACCTTGGCTCTTTTATGACTCGTGGACTTCAACTCCCAGAATTCCTGAGCCAGCATGGGGGAACTATGGCCCCCTCATGACTCGTGGACTTCAACTCCCAGGATTCCTGAGCCAGCATGGCTCAGCTTGGAAACCTCTCCCTTTCCCCTCAGCACGGCTGGCTCGGGAATTCTGGGAGTTGAAGTCCACGAGTCATAAAAGAGCCAAGGTGGCCTACCCTTCACCTAGTGGATCTGCAGGTAGGCAGAGAAAAGATGGGACTTACCTTGGTGCCCGTGATGGTTGGGGATGGGGAGAACGGGGAAGATTTGCTCTGCTGAGTCTAGATGGAAGAACACGATGCAACATCAGCACGGACAATCTGTGGCCCACCTCAAGATAGAAATACTTCCTTAATCCCACTGCTTCTGCCCAAATGTTCTCACCTGATGGTTTGTGTCAGGTCCATTTCTTTCTGTATCTAGAAGCAAAAAAAAGTTAAATTCATCACACGGGGTCCATACTAAAATAGGGACCCTCAAGAATCCACAGCCTGATCTGAACAATCTCCCCCCCCGTCTCCCAATCTCCATTAAGAGATCCTCAGAAGCTGATCCATTTGTTTCTTTCTCACGTCTCTTTATAGATCCTGCGCCTCCCTCTGCTGCTTACGGTGACTGGCAGAATTCCATTTTTGGTGAAGATGTTTCTGCAACAGTGCAGCGTTATATCAATGTGTGAAATTGGGACTGCCCAAGGGAGCAGAACTGCCTTATTTACTTCAATCAGAATAGAGCTGGAAGGGACCTTGGAGGTCATTTAGTCCAACCCCCCTGCTGAGGCAGGAGACCCTATCCCATTTCAGACAAGTAGCTGTCCAGTCTCTTCTTAAAAACCTCCAGTGATGGAGCATTCACAACGTCAGAAGGCCAGCTGTTTCACTGATTAATTGTCCTCCCTGTCGGGAAGTTTCTCCTTAATTCCAGGTTGTTTCTCTCCTTGATGAGTTTCCGTCCATTGTTTCTTGTCCTGCCTTCAGGTACTTTGGAAAATAGGCTGGCCCCTCCTCTTCTTTGTGGCAAGCCCCTCATTTTATTATTTTTTTATTTTATTTATTTGGTGATGGTGGCCCAGAGGAAGATTTTTCATCACTGCTTCAACGGCTGAAGGGGCACCCAAACCAATGAAAAACAATTAGTTGGTTGGCTTGTTTTTAACCATTTAAGTCGTATCCGACTCTTGGTGGCTTTATAGGCATGTGCTCTCCATGCTACCCTGTCAAGAATAGCTTCTTTCTTTTTAAAAGGAGGGTAAAATTTACCCCACAATTGTTTTTGCTAGGTATTGTTACCGATTGTGATACTAAGGAGGTTATATTGCTGTTAAATTTAATTACAGCCGCAAGGTTGTTAGTAGGGCAATATTGGAAGAAGGAATCTTTGCCTACTTTGCAAGAGTGGTTTTCTAAAGTATCCTATCTAGCGGAAATGGCAAAGATTTCGGCTTTTTTAAAGGATCAATCGCAAGAGAAGTTCTTTGTGGTATGGGAAAAATGGATAGATTTTATACAACATAAGTTGGATATAAAAAAATATTATTTAGTTTTTCAATAGCTTATATATAAATTTTAATATTTTATAGACTGTATTATTTTTTCTTTTTCTTTATATTTTTTATTATTATTTCACTTTCTTATATTTCTTTTCTTCTTTCTTTCTCTTTATTCTTTTTCTTTTTAAGTATTTTTTTTCTTTAATATTTATGTTTTTTATATATATATATATATTGTTGTTAATTATTTTATTAGTTGTTTAAGTAATGTATCTAGACTTATCTATGGTTTATACTTTTTTTTTTAAGAATTCAAGAAACTTTAATTAAGCCTATATTCAGCTCTGGGAAGCCTGAGGGAGGGAGTGGGAGGGTTGGGGTGGGTTGGGGAGGGTTGTTTTTTTTTCTTGTAAAAATTTTAAAAATTTTCAATAAAAAAAAAAAGAATAGCTTCTTTCAATTGTTGGAGGTTCAACTTTGCACCAGGTTTGACGTTATCAAGCCAGCATGTTCTTTGCTTGCCCTTTCTTCGGAATAACAATATTTTATACTAAACATTGCCTGTTGCTTCTACTTGGTCCATTCTCCTTTGCTTAGTTCCTTATCTTTCCCAGAATAGTAACTCTTAATAGCTTTTTTTTCCCCCACTGCTTTGGTTTTCAGTGCGCAGGAAGAGTCCTCCTCCCATTCTTCATTGCTTTCTCTTGTTCCCCTTCGTCCACTGCTTTGGATACAAATTCTGATTCATGGCCAAACCTGGCTAATGCAATACTGTAGCACTGAGTTGTCTCAGGAGTATATTAACACTATTTATTAGGCCTGATGGCTCCTTTATATCTTGAAGATGACTGGGAAAAAATTATGTATATATATAAAAAAAGCCAATTTCTTGGTTCAAGAGTGACTTTTCTATTAAGGTTCTCCCACAGAAGACGGGAGTGTGACCCTCCAGGAATTTTCTTTATCTATTCGTTCACTTGCATGCTGTATTTTTAATACCTTCTTAAATTTAAAAGGAGAAAGAAAATAAATGAGCTTCAAAGAGGCCACCGCTGCAGCAACTGAAGGGAGAGGTCCGTTCTCATTTCAACCAGGCTCTGCAAGATACATTCTTAGCCTTCCCATCAAATCAACTTACCTGTGTGGTCTTCTTGCAGCTCCAGGCGCATCTTTTCCAGTTCCAAGGGCTTAGACATTCTTACTTCTGTGAGAAAAAACGGAAGGGACAAAAAATGGAAAGGACAACGCAGATGAGTGTTGAACCAGACCAGGGTTAGGCAACCTTGGCTCTTTTATGACTCGTGGACTTCAATTCCCAGAATTCCTGAGCCAGCATGGCAACCATGCTCCCAGCATGGCTCAGGAATTCTGGGAATTGAAGTCCACGAGTCATAAAAGAGCCAAGGTGGCCTACCCCTGCTCTATACCGTTCCAGACAAGTGGCTGTCCAGTCTCTTCTTAAAAGCCTCCAGTGATGGAGCACCCACAACTTTTGGAGGCAAGTTGTCCCACTGCTTAACTGTTCTGTCAGGAAATTTCTCCTCAGTGCTAGGTTGCTTTCCTAATGGTGAGAGCAATAGACCAATGGACTAGCTCAGGGGTAGGCAACCTTGGCTCTTTTATGACTCGTGGACCTCAACTCCCAGAATTCCTGAGCCAGCATGGGGGAACTATGGCCCCTTCATGACTCATGGACTTCAACTCCCAGAATTCCTGAGCCAGCACGGCTCAGCTTGGAAACCTCTCCCTTTCCCCTCAGCATGGCTGGCTCAGGAATTCTGGGAGTTGAAGTTCATCAGTCATAAAAGAGCCAAGGTTGCCTACCCCTGAACCAGACTATAAAGGCAGTGCCAACAGAGACCTATCTACAGGTAGTCTTCGACTTACAACAGTTCATTTAGTGACCGGTCATTTAGCTACAATGGGACTGGAAAAAAGAGATTTATAACCACTTTTCACACTTGTGGCCATTGCAGCATCCCCACAGTCACGTGATCAAAATTCAGAGGCTTGGCAACTGACTCGTATTTACGACCGTTGCCATGTCCCAGGGTTATGTGATCCCCTGTTGTGACCTTGTGACAAGCAAAGTCAATGGGGAAGCCAGAGTCACTGAACAACTCTGTGACTAACTTAACAACTGGAGCGATTCACTTAACAACAGTGGCAAGAAAGGTCGTGAAATGGGGCAAAATTTACTTAACAAGTAATCTCACTTAGCAACAGAAATTTTGGGGTCGTAAGTCAAGGGTTACCTGTACTGACCCATAGTGCTTTGCATCCTTCTCTAAGTGGTTTACAGAGTCAGCAAATTGCCCCCCAACAATCTGGGTCCTCATTTTACCAACCTCGGAAGGATGGAAGGCTGAGTCGACCCTGAGCCGGTCAGGATCGAGCTGCTGTCAGTGGGCAGAGTCAGCCTGTAATACTGCATTCTAACCACTGCACCACCATGCCTGTATTGTGTGCCAAATCTATGTAACAGGACTCGCATCAAACCAACAAATGGAAAACTAAGAAATGGAGAGAAGCCAACACTGATGCATTTAAAAAGAAAGAAATGAAACAGAACGTCAGGTTCTCCCATTTGTGCATTTTAATGTGACACTGCAGAATTCAAACCGTATAAAATCCGAAAATAAATGCCTCATATGTCAAATTATTCTAACATCCCATAACTTTGAAACTTCCCAAACTATTGTTTGAGTTCTCAGTGTTTTAATCTTTGTAAGCTGCCTAGAGTCACTGGTGTGAGATGGGTAGCTATATTAAAAAAAAAAAAGTAGGAAGATTATTGCCTGCATATTTTTTTTCTAAATCTCCTCCGAGAAATAAAATGGTTTAATCTTGGTTTTCTTTTAATGAAAACTGTAATTCAGCAAAGCAGCTGGAAAAAATCCCTGAGAGATCTAGGCTACACTGTATATTCCTGCTTGGAACAAAGGAGACCCTCACCTAAACCCCAACCTTTTGCTGAGCCTGTTGCAACAGATATTTAAAAGATTAAATGTTCTAAAACATTTGGGCAAATGAATGGATGGATAAATAGGAAAAAGGAACAAACAGAAATGAAGGTTTATTTTGCAAGGGCTCAACAGAAATTTGGAAGCCCACCATAGATTTTGTTGTCATGCAGCAATTATCTAAATTATTGCAGATCACTTAGGGTACCTGTAACTTTGTGAAGAATTTGTTAATCTTTCTTTCTTTCTCTTTCTTTCTTTCTTTCTTTCTTTCTTTCTTTCTTTCTTTCTTTCTTTCTTTCTTTTTCTTTCTTTCTTTCTTTTCTTTCTTTTTTTCTTCCTTCCTTCCTTCCCTCCCACCTTTCTTTCTTTCTTTCTTTCTTTCTTTCTTTCTTTCTTTCTTTCTTTCTTTCTTTCTTTCTTCCTTCCCTCCCTCCTTCCCTCTTTTCTTTTTCTTCCTTCCTTCCCTTCTTCCTTCACACAGTTCTTTCTTTCTTTCTTTCTTTCTTTCTTTCTTTCTTTCTTTCTTTTTCTTTCATTTTTCTTTTTCTTTCCCTCCCTCCTTCCCTCCTTCCTTCACACCTTTCTTTCCTTCCTTCCTTCCTTCCTTCCTTCCTTCCTTCCTTCCTTCCTTCCTTTTACTTACTTACTTACTTACTTATTCATTCAATATCTAAATATCTCCTCCATGGTGGGCAGATAACAATGCAATAAAATATACAAAACTTCCATAAATAAAATAACATCCGGTGGCTTCCGAAGTCACCTAAATCAAAAGATGCTCAAACCAAATAATTCTCAGTTGCTTGTGACATGCAAGCAGGGACTGGGAGCATCCACAGCTTTGGCAGGAGAGTACCCTTAACACTGGAAGGCTTGTTCTCTGGTTCACACCCCACAGATTTTGTAAAGAAGGGGAACCCCTCAAACAGACCCTCTCCATATATCAGGACTAAGTGGGCACATTCTATTCTAGAAAGCACTGCCTGCTATCTTCCTAGGACAACTTCTGTTTTCAGGAACCTGGGGTTGTGCGATAAGGGTCACAACCACTGACTTTAACAGAGGATTAAGACAGCCCCGGAGAAGGCAAGTTATGTCACTGCCTATTAGCTTTGTCAAATGGCACCAAGATTATTGATGGAGAGGAAACACAAGAATGAGGCTATTGCTTCAAGTTTTACTTGGTGTTTTTCCGTGAGATATCTGGTTTCTTAATCCAGAGAACTTTGGCCCTGATATATCTTTGTTTTTTCCAGAGCAGCGGTCTCCAAACTCGGCAACTGTAAGACTTGTGGACTTCAACTCTCAGAAGCTGGCTGAGGAATTCTGAGAGTTGAAGTCCACTTGTCTTACAGTTGCCGAGTTTGGAGATCCTTGTTCTAAAACATCTTCTCCCATTATACTCTATGTTGAGAAAACTAACCTGACAGGTTGCTTCCATAGTTGAGAACCAGGTTTATTCCCCTTCTCAGGCAGGGAATTTGTACCAAATAAGCCTCTTTTTACACCAAGTTTGCTCGTCTCAGTGGGTAGAGATAAAAGCCCCTGTCGTGGACTTCAGGGATTCCCCTTCAAGGAATTATGCTAGCTGGTTGTTGACATTATTCCTACTGCCGATCCTTTCATCCGATAAAGTAAGACGATGGTCTCTGGCAGCAGATGCTGGAGGTGGCCAACTCTGCTTATCCAGCAACTTGGATTTCTTGGCCGTTCTTCACTTTTAGATATTAATACACTGCGTGCAAAATAACCCGCTGTAGCCTAATCTCAGCTATGCATTGTAATAGAGTAGGATTGGAAAAGGACACCGTTCTACCAGTAGAATCCACCAAGATCCATTAGAGGCAAAAGAATCTACAGGTTAGTATTGTGACGTCATCATCAGCCAAGATAATTCACTCTTTCCATCAAAGATGTTCTACCATTTCATAGGTTCATAACCACTTTTTTAAACTTAGCGCTATGGAGAAGGGAGGGAGGGAGGGAAGGAGGGAAGGAGCTAGGGAGGAAGGAGGGAAGGAAGCGAGGGAAGGAAGGATAGTGAAGGAGGGAGGGAGGAAGGGAGGGAAGAAGGATAGTTAGGGAGGAACGGAGGAAGGGAAGGAGAGAGGGAGTGAGGAAGGAATAAGGGAAGGAGCGAGAGAGGGAAGGGAAGGAGCGAGGGAGGGAGGAAGAAGGGAAGGATGGAGGGAGGGGAAGGAGCGAGGGAGGGAGGGAAGAGGAAGCGAGGGAAGGAAGGATAGTGAGGGAAGAAAGGAAGGAGAGAGGGAGTGAGGAAAGAAGAAGGGAAGGAGGGAGGGAAGGAGCGAGGAAGGAAGGAAGGAGGAAGCGAGGGAAGGAAGGATAGTGAGGGACGAAGGGAAGGAGAGAGGGAGTGAGGAAGGAAGAAGGGAAGGAGGGAGGGAAGGAGCGAGGGAGGAAGGAAGGAGGAAGCGAGGGAAGGAAGGATAGTGAGGGACGAAGGGAAGGAGGGAGGGAGGGAAGAAGGATAGTGAGGGAGGAATGGAGGAAGGGAAGGAGAGGGAGTGTGGAAGGAAGAAGGGAAGGAGGGAGGGAGGGAGGGAGGGAGGGAGGAAGGAAGGAAGGAAGGAAGGAAGGAAGGAAGGAAGGAAGGAAGGAAGGAAGGAAGGAAGGTCACTTGTTCAGTGTGATAAATGCTTCTCTGTGTTTTGCCCTTCATTCAACGTCAGTCAGAATCCCACTTGGTCCATAAGCAAACACTGACAGCTATCACTTTTTAAAAAATTGGACATCAGAGCAGGAGCTCAACCAGTGTCACACCTGATTTTACCTTCATATAATGAGAACGGTAAGTCCAACCGATTTAGCCAAACATGCACCTATTAAAAACACAGCAGGAAAGAACGAACCAATTCTTTTCAGCCTCTCCCATTACATTTCTTCCATCTACTTCGTACCAAAAAGGCATCTTTAGGAGACCATGCCATTCCTCCTCTCCACCCCGCCCCCCCCCACCCTCTACCGGTACTAGTTTTTAGGTTATACCATGCCAAAAAAAAAAAAAAAAGCAAAATATTTTCATAACTTGCAGCTAAAGGTTGAGCTTTGTGACGAAAGGTTGTTAGATAAAGCTATTCTTATCCGGAGCCCACTCCGCCCTGAGTACAGGTAGTCTTCGCTTTACAACAGTTCTTTTAGTGACTGCTCAAACTACAGCGGCGCCGGAAAAAGTCATTTATGACCATTTTTCACGCTTACGGCTGTCATAGCGTCCCCG